TGAAGCATTTTTTTTTCCAAAAAGTTGTTTGCAGTGATGAAACTGGCCAAAAAATATTTATATGATATTCAGCACGTGTATTTTATCTACATGAAAAACAAATGTTTTAGTGCTCCAATGTGTTTTAGAGTGGTGCCGCATGTTGTTCGGCGTGATGTCTAACGTTTTACTCCAAGTAGAGCAAAATGGCGGAAGTCATGCTGAACAACACGTGGCACGTACATGTAGAACTTCTTTCGTACGGTACGTAGCCAAAGTATTAATCGGAGGTACGGGTGAAGGACAACAAACTAAACACAAAAAGCAGTTCTACAACCTGAAAACAAGTGGGAAAAGTATAAGTTAGTACTTGTAGTGCTAGTTTCGGTCTCGACATTTAAAGAAACCCCTTTGATCAATGTGGCCAGTATTCTATAGGTAACGTTTCAAATGGCAATACAACTTTATACTCAAGTTGTACTCATATTAGTTCGTCTTTAGGACAGTAATCGTGCCGCCGCAGCCGCCTGCCCCGACCACCCGATACAGAGGGACAGAGCTAACGTGTGAGTGCATTCAACTTAAGTTAACAGGTAAAATAAACTGATTCTTATATTAAACTGTAACCCTAAATCATTATTTGTTTATAAAGCCCGAGGGTAATGGTTCATTATCGGCAACATTGGTTATCCACGTGGTGTGGCACATGTGACAGCTAAACTTCCCAATTAAAGAAAATAAACATCTATCGCGCGGAATTTATTATATAAAGTTGGTGAATTAAGTGTGCAGGAAGTAAAAGATTTTAACAACGTATACATATGTGCCTGTGAATCTATTATTTTAAAAATACAGTAGAAAGAAAACCCTGACAGAGTAGCAGCCGGGGAACAGGATGCATCTGAGAGGACATTCACTGACGAAGTAGAAGATGGAGTGATGAATTCAGCTCATGTGCACAAGTGAGAAAGATTGTTACAGTGCAGGATCATGAGTAGATTAACCGTGGTCGATCATGATAAAAACACAAAACAGAGAACACGACCGAGAGAATGACCACTGTGGAGATGGAGCAATAAGATCAGCTCATGTGCAGGAGTGAGAAGGAATTGTGTCATCATAGAACTTTGAGAGATGATGAGAGCACGAGGAAGCTTTCATCCAGCAGTTTATAAACTGACTGCTGATGATTATAGTAGAAAAACATGACAAAAATCCGCAAAACATGGACATGCAGTATTCTAATCAGCCTATAAGAACGTTTTGGATGGAGAAATTTTATCATTTATTTTCAGATATCTTCACCAATCGTGGCCACTATTTCGGTGTCACCATGTTGAGTGATTTATAGTATGACTTCACAAAATAATAATTGTAAGATGAAATAATGGCGTAACAATTACAATCTAGACTCCTGGTCGTACGGGCAACATTTACCTGCAAAATACTTCTCGTGATACCATCCTGCGACATTCTGTACCCGTGGCCGCGCACAAATAAAATTCCCAAGTGGCATTTTGCTTATATAGTGCCTGTTATATTTTAAAATGATAGCCATGGGGGGATTATTACAACCAAATGTTGCTCCTATAACCAGTCGTTAAGATTTAGGATGTAGAACATGAGCAGTATTGTGCAAGCCCAGAAAAATACAGTACAGGGTGTCGCAATCCCAGCGTGGTCTTTGAGAATATATGTCACTGTCTGATGTGTCCCAGTAATTCGGTGGTGGTTCACGAATGCACTTGATGTAGAGTAAGGGAGCCGTCTCTTCCTATCTGGTATCACACCACAGTGTAGCAATGTGAATTGGAATTTCGTCAACAATACAGGGTGCCGTCATGCTCCATTATGTGATGTCACCTGTACAAGCTGCATGAAACAAAATAAACCTTCACAAAAATTGGGAGCCATGAACCGGATGGACTACAGTGTCTCAAAAAAACACTCTTCACACTACCTCCTACTCCTAATTAATGAGCCATCTCTTAAAAGTTGATGACTCATCTTCACGCACACTTAAATTATTTTCGCATTGCACGTAGCTGACGAATGTCAAAAATGTAAACCCACACCCGCCCCTTTGCTTGTGGCGCGTGTGGAATTGGAGTTGACAAAACCATGGGAGATCGAGATTGAATGCTCCTGCCGCTGATGTAGGGCAGATGTTTGGGTGCGATGTTCAATACGAGATGTTTGTATTGAGTGAAGGGTCACATCGAGGGAGACGTTTCATTCTGAGCGAGGATGGTGGGAGAATTCATCAGGCTGACAGGGTGGCGATGCCTGTGTGTTGAAGGTGGTGGCACGTAAAGAAGAAGAAGAATGAAAAAAAACCCACAGCCTGGATTTGTGGTGAAGTTGTTTGTTATCTCGTCCCGCTACAGATGTGCCATTATATGTGTCTGTTGCGAAATGTGTAGCACGGTTCGGACGTGTCACCCCGGATGGCAATGCACAAGCAAATTTTTTTGTGCAGAGAACATCAGGGAGATTCCATCACCATGGCAACATGACAGTCTGAATGTGCAAGGCAGAACTGTTATAAATAACCATAATAAGGTCGCGGGGTTTTTGTGTGTTTCATTGGTCAAAAGACACTGCAGCGATGACTGTCACTGTGAAGAATTTGCCGGTCTGGCAATGACGTGGGGAAGAGCGTGGCTCATGAATGTCTCTCGTGATGTGCTCTTATTTTTTTGTATCTCGTGGTTGTGACCGCTAAGCATTTTATGCAATTGTTTTCTTTTAAGCCGAACGTATCACCTAATACAGTAGTGAACCTTCAAACTCTAATGAGACCGTATAAATGCCGAGGAAATATAACGTGCTCAGCAAATGTCTGGAATGTGGATTTTGCACAAAACAGTTTGTGTCACAAACTCAAATAATAATTTATAGCCCTTTGTCAATTCAATGATGAAGGCCTCCCCAAATTTTGTCAGTATTGGAGATTCATTGGCCATACTTCATCACCACGCTGTATAGGGCACATTTATAAAGCGGGGGCCCAGGACCAGTTCAGATAGGACTTTTTACTGATGGTAACCATTGGGTAGGAATCAAACTCAGATCGCTGGGTACAGAGGACACATTGCTAATCACTGCACCACCCTTCCACCTTGTGACACAAACCCCGAATGTGGTAAAAATGTCCTACTCTCTGTTGGGAGTGATTTTCTACCTATACAGAAGCTGCATGTGCAATGACTTATGGTGCGATGGTGTTTGTGTGCCGATGCACATCATTGTGTGTCAGCACCGGTTAAGGTCAACACAGCTCTATAGCTGGCCACCCATGTGACATGCAATCGGTCATCACATGAAACCTATCGTGACGTGGAGCAATGTTGTGCTTGCTCACAATGTGTGCATGTGCATTGCTCTATCTCTCTATCTCTCTTGTTTAATGAAGCCCACCCGTCAGGGCTGTCACTGCATGCACGTGTCGTCATCCCATCGTCATGCGACGAGTCAAAAAAAACATAAAAACGAGCGTGGGTGGTGCCGGTGGTTTGTCCTCGGCAGGTGGCCAACAAAACCATCGGGTCCATTGGTCAGGGGCCAGACATCAGGTGATGCATTGCCACCCAATGGAGATCCAGTTTACCAAACTGACTTGTTTTTTTTTCTCTCCCTCTCCAATCCCAACTCCCCCCCCACCGCCTCTACCACACACACATAACCAGCACCACAGCTCTTCACGCCACCTCTCCAAAACCCTTCCCCTCCCCCTTACAAAGGCTCCCAACTACCGCCTTCCCCTCCCACCACCACCACCACCCACCAAAACCTCTCTCTCTCCCTCCCCACACCCCACCGCCACCTTTACCCGCCCAACTTAAGCACTGCTGGCCATCATCACCATCAAGCCCCTGATTTCCAGTTGAAGAAACCCTTTCCTCCTCTGCCTCTGTTATTTGTGTGAAGGCAGCCATTTTAAGAGAAAGAAACAGAGACACGTGCACAATGACACGCTCACAAAGGCGGGTGGTGGTGCTGGTGGTGGTGCTGGTGGTGCTGGTTGGTGGTGCTGGTGTTGGTTGGTGGCTTGTGCCAGGCTGACAGAGGAGGCACTTTGGTGTTTGCTAAACCAACCCCCCGTCGCCAAAGAGTGGGGGGGAGAAAAAAAGCCCTCTTCTGAGACCGGCCATTTCTTTGGCTTGCCCAGTCACTGCTCATTCACCATTCACAGAAAATTCAGAAACTTACACAAGTGTGGTGGTGGACATTCTTTGGGTTTTTTTTTATTTGTTTTGTCTCTGCTGCTGTGATCATTGATGCCTTATGTAGATTTTTTTTTTGCGAAGTACTCCCCACACCTTATCTAATTCGTATTATTTCTGGTCATACATAGCCTGCAGTGAGGTAGGTAGAAAAGTTGCCTGGTCTGCTCATGACAACAGAAGCCTCCAGCTGATTGTATAGCATTTAATTTTAAAAGGCTTATTTTTTTTGTGACGTCTGGCAGGGGAGGGGGCCTTAATGAATATTAACATATACACGAATAGATCATCACATTCGATTTACCAGTAAATCAAGTACAGATAACATTTTTTTTTATTTTGGGAGATCTTCAAATTTAGTTGACATTTGGATAAAATATTAATAACCGCAGAAATAAGGCTAATGATATGTAATACAGTACTATATGTAAATATGATATAGTACTGAATTTGTGATATTCAATTAAACCACAGTAATAACCTGCCTATAAAAATTATTAACCGTACAATTATACCCCGGGCAATTAAAATCCACACAACATCAATTAAAAAAAACTTAATTCTCGAATAACACCGGTTAAAAAAAAAATTCATCCCAAAACCCACAATCAATGTCGAGTTAAAAAACTCATCAAATTTTTTCCTAAACCAACAAAACCCCCCCAAAAAAAGAAAAATCTAAAAAACACCCCACAATTAGTGAATAAATATACCATCCCGTGGCTTTGGGAACCCTCTGTGGCTTGTGTGTGTTGGGGTGAGTGAGTAGAGAGAGAGACCACGCTCGGGAACAAAGCCCCCGGCGGAGAGGAAGTGGCAGTGGCAGCAGCAGCAGTGGCAGTGGCAGCAGCAGCAGAAGGGACACGAGGCACCCACCACCCACCACCACCACCACCCAGACTGGGAGCCGAACCCCAGAGGCAAACGCAGACGTCTCTCCCTCCTTTTCGTCGGACCTTTCACCATTACCCCACAAGCTTTATCATATTAAAAAAAAGAACCCCGGGACCGGTGGGACGGGACTGCTCTAGGGGAAGAAGAGAGAGAGAAAAGCTCCTACCTCCAGGTAATAAGGTATGTTGTACGTACACGCCGGCAAAGTAGAATTGGTACCGAATATTCGTGGGGAGTATTTTTTTAATTACTGATAATTGGCGGCCTTTACCTTCGGCGGGCCGGGCGACGAACTACACCGAGGTGGAGTCTGTTCGGGTGGATATTTATTCTTTCTCCGTACGTTTGTTGTATAACAAACACACGTCGTCAAGAAAAAAAAAGAACCGACGTTTAACAACAACTCCTAAATCAGCGGGCGTCAATTGGCGTTCGTTCGTTCGTGTCGTGGTGTTGTTAGCAGAGCCGTCGCGGCCGAGAGGGATGGGATTGAAAGGCCCCGGACGGTGTAATAATAAATAAATAAGCTTCTTTGTAATAATTTTGTGTGTATATACAGAGAGGCACACACAGAGAGAGAGCTGCTATCTTGTTAAAAGGCCGCCCCCGTGTGACCGAACATTGCCTGGGCTCGACTGATCCGGTGCCTCTGCTTAAGCCACACACACACACACTGGACACTGCATCTGAATGTTACATGTGGAGAGGTGTTTTTGTGTTAATCCACTGCTGGATGAGGGTCTTCCCCACCCCCTAAACCCCGTGGCAAGTGGTAGTTGTTAGGGGGGGCTTTTGACCATACTTCACCACGCCGGTCGTTGCGGATTTGTGAAGCCGGGGGAGCGTTAACGTGATTTGGGGTATGGTATATTACATACAGTACACACACACACACGCCTATTTAATGATAGATTACGATAGTAGTTGGTGTTATTCTAGTTTATGACACTTTGATAGACATTGTATTGTTTCTGTGACTTTTACTTTGTTAACTTTTCTTTCTGTTTTCGCCGGCACTTTGCCGGCTGTGAATGAGAGATGCGTTTAGTAGCGGAGTTTCGTCGATAGCCTTACGATAATGGAACGGTATATGTTGTAACATTACAATCGTAGGGTTGCATACTTGTAAACATTCGATTACACGATATTGCTGTACTCGTTAATGAAGGTTGTCATGCGCGTACTGTATGTACACACGAGTGCGTGTAGGCCCTACTATTATACACTGTATTACGTAAGCCGTACTATATACAGTATGTTATATCGTGTGCGATAGAAGGTGGTAAGATATATATATGTTCGTAACGTTATACACGATAACTGTTATTGTAAACGTCGTGTTCGCCTTATTTTAATTACCGATTCGGGCCTAGGCGTTAGGATGCACCTAGGCGAGTCGCACAATTGTTGAATAATAATCATATTTGTATCGATCATAAACGACCACATTCGATACCAATGCGTCGTGTTTGTGTGCGGAATAGTTAAATCCGTGGGTTTTATTTCGTTTAAGACTCGGTTTTGTTAGAGTCGAATGTCCCATTGTACACGGGCGAAGAGACGTTTACGTTGGCAAAGTTTTTCGTCCCTTCAAAGTGTCCACTTTAATCAAAAAATAACATGCTACTTAAACAATCGTCTCCTTTCATCGTGTGGTTTGGTTAACGTTTTCGTCTTTAGGGTTTTTTTGTTATTTAATGTGTATTTAAACTTGAGTTTGTAACTTCCTTTAGTCGAAAGAGGCACGCTATAGTGTAGTCGTTCAGAATTTGACCATTGGTTCCTCTTTCACTTGTTTAATTGTGTATTTTTACTTTCACACTTATTTTAGACATGGTGATACAATAGTTTATACTACTGTAAAGTTGTTTTTGTAAAAATGCTACCTCGTGTTAAGGCTCTTATCCAATCCGTTTATATTGGCCTCATTACATGTTTGCCTGGCTATTCAATGTCATTAAAGCGGTCAAAATGTTCAATAAATGCACATTCATCCATTATTGACATTTAAAGTATGAAAATATCACGTTCTTTGTAGGGGTTTAGGCTGCTTTAGATGGTTTCCTGTCAAAGTTACACCCACCAGAGTCACATGTTAGTCATCAAACTACACCGTAATGGAGACGCCGGTTATATATGAACGGAGTAAAAGTGCAATTGAGTCATCATTTTAGTCATCCTCATTGTTGTGCACGCACAAAGATGAACTTGGCCAGCTAGATTGGCCATCATTGGTGCCCACAGTGTTGCTACGTTCATATTCTTGGCCTGGTGGCTTCAGCATAAGCACCAAATCATGGTTTGGGGGGGGGGGTTCATCATTCGATACATCGTCCAATTTGTGATGAAGTCTAAAGTGGTCTGTCCTATGGATAAACTTGCTCCCGCCATAGGAATGTGGAATCTACACGAATGGTTCAGGGCCGTCAACAGATGAGCGCTGTCTAAATTGCTCATTCGAGCAGGAATTCACTTTGACTTTTGACCCATTGTACTGTACAGTGAATTGACCTCACGATTCTTACAACAGACTCCACAGAACTGTTGTAACTTGTGCGAGTGAAAACGGTTTAGCTGATTGGGCCTTTGAAAAAATACTTAAGCGATAGTATGTTAGCTCATGACATGGTGACGAAGTGGCCTTTGGCATCACAACAAATGTGGTGTGGACTTTACTCCAGCAATTAGTTTTGTACTTGGGGTAATTGGTTTCTCGTTAACTGTACATTGACAACACGCAGGAATATGTATGATGGTGTAAATATGTCCCAGTGCTTTAACCTGAATTCCAGATGTAGTTACTGTAAGATGAAGCACTACTTTGTTAGCGGTGGTGGTGGGGGGGGGTGTGGAAAGTGTAAGTTATCCTTTTGTTGTACCCCTTGTTAAAATGGGATTAACGCGTTTAAGTACAGTATTATGGCACTACTGTACTTTGGAAGTGCATGCTTGACCTCTACCCATATCCAACTCCATCCTGCCACCCACGCTCTGGCTAACCAGCTCACAGATCATACACATTTATGGGTTTAAGGAATTGTCCAGTGGTATGTGGTATTGCTGATCAGTTTTTTTTTGTTTTGGGGGGGGGGGGGGGGCGGAGTGTCGTGGTGGGTATGGGAGATGTAGGGGTGCAGGTGTTTTCTTTTTTAAAGCCGTGTTGATTTGTGCCTTCTCCCCATCTCGTGGTGTCTTAGGACCTGGCCACTGTATTGCCATGACGACTGTTTGAAAGATAACATGCCAGTCGTAAAAAAAAAGAGAGAAACTGGCTTCAGCCGGTCTGAACCGGTTTGCCCCTCCTCCCACGTTTAACGCTGCAACCCAGGCAGCCAGGCGGGCGCAAGGTATTGTGGGATGCCGCCTTGGCCGGCTCTTTAATATGCAGGGTCATGTGACTGGCTCTGGAAGCCATTTCCTGAATGGGACACAGCCACCACCACCACCACCACATCATGGGAGAGACGTGCTGGCGCAGCAAAGGTGCATCCACAGCTGCAGCCCAAACTGGCTCGGCAATCGACATTGTCACGGGTCTTCCAAGTGCAGTAGGATAAATGCAAGAAAATAACAACAGCAGCAACAAATCATCATAATTGCAACTGTCATCAATTGCAACTGCATACTGAGAAACAAATAACGGCTACCATTATGTTGGTCGTGACTTAATTGTGCAGAGTTGATGTTGTTGGCTGTTGCAAACACATTCTGCATTGACCTTTACATGGTGTTCTGTGCTGTTATTGGGACAGTCTCAAATAAGTTTTTATCCCGGTACATATACGGTTTTAAACTTTGCTTATCTCTGCCAAGAGTCAAATACAGTAAAGTTAAAAGAGTGAATGAAGTTCCATGCTTAAGTGTTAAGAGCAAACCCATTTTCGGTCTTGTTGGGGCAGTATTTAGCAAGTAAACACTAAGGTATAAACAATTTGGATTGAGCTTCAATGTATATTTTTTACACGTGTGATTGGCCTAGCTACAGAGTCCCTCACCGCTACCCTTGCTGTAATTTAGCATTCATTATCGAATTGTCACTGTAAATGTGGTTCCATTTCTGTTATGTAGACTTTCCACAGGCTTATAATTTACCAATTATGCATGCAATTATTATTTTGTGTGCTTCCAAAAGCTGTTATAATATAAACATTTATCACACTGGCATGGTAATATATATTTTAGCGGAACTGCTGAGGTTTGGTTAGTGGTATCGTGATCTCATCAAAAAGTGATGAACATATAATCCAATATCTAGTGTAAGCATAAACACATTTTTCACTTGAGTGCTATAATATTTGTGGCAATGCATTATACATTGCTCCTCTTGTACTTGCTGTGTGTTAATTGTGGGTTGCGGTATTTTGCAGAGCTATCTGAGATGGCGGATGTGGATGGAGAAGAAACATTACAAACCCAGGATGGACTAAAGAGGAAGCTGGAGGAGGAGGATGGAGAGATCACCACAGACATTAAGCACCCTAAGCTAGACCTGCCTGTCGAAGGAGAAACTGACCCAGGTCAGGCCCAAGAAAATGGCATGGATGAAGACCTTGCTGATTCTGAGCCTGACGGTGATCTACCAACTGAGTGTGATGTGCAGCCGGAGACTGTTGCACATCCCGAGGATCCTTTAGAGCCTGTGAGTGTGCCACAGCAGGAGAATAATGTGCTGCTCTGCAAAGAATCTTCGCCTGAGGAAGAATTACAAGCCAAAGATGTCGTTCTGCCCCAGAATGCTTTGTCCCCCCAAATTGCATTGTCCCCCCAGATTGCATTGTCCCCCCAAATTCCATTGTCCCCCCAAATTCCATTGTCCCCCCAGAGTGCATTGTCCCCCCAGAGTACATTGCCACCCCAAAATGATTTGCAAGACGAAGAGGAAAAGATGCAGACTAATGCATTGGAGACCCAGGATGAGTGCCGGACCAAGGATGCTGTGCAACTTGAGGATGGTGTGCAAGTGACGGAGGAGAGCGTGAAAGAACAACTAGAGGAGAGTGAGGAATTGGTGAAAGTAAAAGCAGAGCCAATGGCGGATGGTTATGACCAGAATACGGAAGAAAAGGACGCAAGCTCCCCTCGTCCTGCAGTGAAAAAGGACAAAGAAAACATGTGTGATGAGCCTGTGGACATGAGCACCAACAAAAGGTTATTTTTCTGTTTTAAGTAAGGTACACTTTTTAACTGAGCATTAGAATAATTATGGTAATTAACCGACATTCTCTGATGTAAAATATTAAAAATGTGTGGTTGAGCAGAATTTCATTTAAAAATGGAAGAACACGGGCATATTTTGCTTTTCTCTTAATCACCTCTTCGATCCATGTACGTTATGCACTGAGCTACATAAGGCACAGGGAAAGCATTAGTGGGGATGCTAACTCAGCAATAGTCAATATTAACTGAATTAAAATTGAGTCATTTGGTACTGCTAACATTCAGACATGTTTTATGCCAGTGATGCAAAGAAGGAAAAGCGAGGACCATCACCAGATGTCATTGTGCTCTCCGACAACGAGTCTTCTAGTCCCACAGCCAATGGTTACTGCAAGGACGAGGAGATTGGCAACGACTTCATCAAAGTATGTGCACACACAACTCGCCTGTACATACAGTCATCCTAACCAGCATCTTAATGGTTAGCCTGCTGCAACACAAATGACCTGTGCATTTTCAGTCTCCATATAGTCAGTGTTTAACTGCATTTAAGGGTATTTACTTAAAGCTTGACCAAATGATTTTCCAATAATTAACGTTTTTTGGAAGTGGATCATCAACTCGAGTAACATTTTCATTGAGATTCGATAGGCAGTAGTTCATATATTTTACAATGTCTTTTGCAAGGATTTGTATGAACATGATTACTCAGAGCTGGGTAATACTAGCAGCCAGAATAAGGCATCCTAATGGTTAATGCTTACACAAGGAGCATGTTTAGCAGTTGGACACTGCGATTAAAACATGTTTCGTCATGTTATTTTTCGATATGACCTTAATCCATCTACAACAGCATTATAGATGGACTAAACAACTTTATTGTAAACATAAAGTTATCTCAATGTTCTATAAACCGTTATTTGTCTCGTGGTAAATAGATAACACTTCTAAAATTACTGCAAAACAGATTATTTCACCAACCATGAATTCAAATGTAAGCTGGAGAATTTGTGCCGTCTTTTTGTTGCTAACTTGATGGCATATGTGGCTGCCACACCCGTGCACAGTCAAGCACACCAGAAGAACGGGAGAAGATGATCAAGCGGCTGAAGGATGAACTCCGGCTGGAAGAGGCCAAATTGGTGCTATTGAAAAAGCTTCGGCAGAGCCAGATGCAAAAGGAGAATGTTACACAGAAGGTGAGCAACCTGCCAGATTTTATTTATTTCTTGCACCCATAATGGCAGTGTTGGTCAGTGAAGTTAAACGCTAATTTGGAAGTTTATACCTCCCTGCTGCATCATCGGGCATGTTGCGTAGCCCATTGCGTGCATACTTGTGTGTTTGCGTGCGAGTTTATATTCCCATACAATTACATAGCCAAAGTGCGTTGTTCATGTACTTGCAGGGATTAATAATAACGCATAGCATACATATGCTTTTTACCGCTCGTCAATATCTGCTTTCACCTTGGAAGCCATGCTTAAAGCTATCAAAATTTTATGCCTAATTATTTTTGCCACATACACAACTTAACAGAATGATTATGCTTTTATACTCTCCATGGGCAATAAAGCTCCCATTTTAAATAAGACTGCGAGTAGGCATGCACAATATCATTCACCTTTAACATGTGCATGAGTTTGATTCTGAATTCCTGTGCATGTTTACCTTTGGTATATAACCTTGTCAACGAATATACCTCACTAGACTTGCTAATTGTGCTATCTTTGAGAAAACTGTATTCATGGGAAAAACACTGTAGCCTAATAGGTTTTGCAGCTTTCCTGGTGGGAAATGCACACAAGTGTAATATATGTGTGGTTTTAAATACTGCTTATCCATGTAACTTTAGGAGCCATATTAAATGTTCCTCGTTTCTTACAAGGCTTAGTTTGTTCGGTCGATCAAATGACAGTTTTTTCCACATGCTGTGTCATGTTACCTACATTGAGCAGACCGGGTATGGATAATATGACCAATGTGGTCTCGTTTGACAAATTAGCAAAGCATTCATTTATGGCAGCAGTATTTTAAACAATGTTGTATGCATGAACTGACATAGAGACAATGAAAACAAACGGGATTTATTGGCAGCAATGGACTACGCTTAAACTGGAATTGGAGAGAATATCTTCGTTGATAGATTCCATAAAGGCATTTCAATTGATATTTAACAGTGTCGGGGGAGCAGTTGCGCAGTGGTTAACACATTGCACAATGAAACCGGCGATCCGAGTTTGATTCTTAGCCACAGCTAACATCTATCGCATGTGATATCTCTACTGGTCCAAGCCCTCCTTCCCCCTTCATCCCAAACTTTTAAATGTGGTGAAGTATGGTCAAACAACTCCAATGACCAACATGGCATAGGCAGGTATTCATCTTGCATTGGATTGACAGTGCTGTTGATTTTTTAAATGGTGCAGAATTTATGCAATATAAATGCTTGTGGAAATATTTTTGGCTTCTCTAAGTTATGACCATGGGCTCCATCCAGTGCTCATCAAATACGTTATATTTGAGTGTGCAACACGTGCTATTGTTTGAAATTAGTTTTAACATGAGATGTCATATAGGTGTGGTTCCACACCTGTGGTCCACAGATTGTTGATTGTCTCTAAGACTGTGGGAAGTGGTCCACGGTACTTTTGCTGAATGCATGTTTTTTCACAAAACACCACTTTTTTACCGTATGTTGATCCTTGAACCATTTTTCGGGTGGCCAATGGTTTGCAGGTCCAGATTGCTTGGAAACCACTTTCATAGAGTACGATTGGTTGGCTTAAGATCACCTGGGTTTGACAGCATTGTCAAGTGGAACAACTGCTGTAAAAATTTTTTTTCAAGAAAAGTATCCCAATGTCGATTTTTGTAATAGATCTTTTCTATTCATTTGTTTTGGCTTTCATATCCTAAACAGCATTGGATAGGAGTACATTCCTGGCCTAGGTCTGCTGTCTCGTTTTTGCGTAAGCTCTTTGTTGTTTGTAGACAGGTAATTGGGGACCATGTTATTGGATTCTTGATTTTAATATATTGTGATTGACGAGAACACAACAGTGGTTGTATTAGTAAAGTAACAATAATAATGCAAAATGTCTTTAAACCATAATTATTTGTGACTGCAACATATTTACATTTAACAAAAGCTGCACTGAACTTGGCAAGAAGACCACATGATGGATTGACTTGCTTAAAAATGGCCTGCTTTTCAATATTCATTCTTCATCTCCATATTTCTAATAACCATAAAACTGAACTTGGATGTTCTGCTTGTCTAGCATAATTGTAAAGGCAAACGTTTGCCCACACATCTCTTCTTGATGTGTCAGCACAGCTTTTGTCTGTATTGTTCATTTGCAATATGCTTTAACCATCACAGCAAAATCAGTCTTTTCCTCTAACTTAAAATGTTTTAAAGTAATTACAAAGCAAAATCATAAAACTATGATTTTGGGACACTTTAGTGAATTTTTATTGTACAAGAATTTGACCCCATGGTGATATCTTCCTTTTCGTGTTTTCCTTTGATTGCTGCCAGCCCGCTGCACCGCACGGCACAGGCTCTGCGTCGGCACCGCCACCTCTTGTACGGGGCAGTCAGCAGCAGCAGCAGCTTCCGGGCACCCGGCTCCCAGCTCAGCAGGCACGCATCAACCCTGTAACACACTACCATCAATGGCATGGCAATGTTCAACGCTCCTTTAAGTTCTCTGCTCTGCTTTTCGCTAACTCACCCATTCACTCGCTTGCTGTCCAAATGATTATGGGGTTCACACAACTGTGGAGGTGAATGGACAGTGTAGGGTTGTTTTTTTACCTGTCAACTGGAATCTCGTATTTAAGTGTTAACAGGGGATGATTCATTGCAGCTCACTTTGAGGCACTGCAACTTGTTGCTGCATACATGCATCATGATGTGTTGTTGGTCAGTATGCAGATACTCGGGTCAAGCCTGATTCCACCCCAATCTTTTTAAAAACACTTGGCCATATTTCGTGTTATGGTGTGGACTTAACATGTAAATTTTTATATTGTGAAACTTACAGTGACCAATGTGAAAATGAGTCCCTTCACAACTAATGTTGACTTTGGAATTCCGGTTAAATTAATATCAAGTATATGTATGTATGCAGGGTGGAGATTTTATTATTTTATTGTGCCCAAGTATAATCATGCCTGTACTGCAGGTGAAATCTCCTCTGAGATGATATCATGGCTGGGTGTGGCCTTCTTTCCTCGTGTCATTTCTTCATATATAAATTAAATGGCCATATGTGTTGGTTTGGCAGCTCTGAAAAACAGCCAGCTTACGACACCACAAAGCCCATGCTCTATTTTTGTCTTCGGTAGCTGTTGAGTAATTACTAGAGATTGACAAAGCTAATTAGATTACTCTCAGGTCTTCTTAAGGCAGTGGTTCTTAACCTTTTTGGAGGTACCAAACCCCACCAGTTTCACATGCGCATTCACCGAACCCTTATTGGAAAAATAAAATATGATTTTTTCAAATTCAAAACATAGGTATATGTTTTAGTGGTGCACAATCATTCGAGTCGGGTGTGTGTCTTAACCTCCGCCGAACCCCTGAGACTGACTCACCGAACCCCTGGGGTTCGATCGAACCCAGGTTAAGAACCACTGTCTTAAGGTAACATTCTCACACATTACCATTCTTCATCACATTAATGCTTTGCTGTTTAGCGTTATAGTAATATGCGCCTGTTTGAACATTGAACAGTAGTTTTTAGTGTTAGTGAGTTCTCTACTGGCCTTCCATATGCGCAGCTTCTTCAGTCATGCCATGATCGCTCAGGGTCCTGCAACCCTCTAAATGCCATTGGCCACTCTGACCTCTTGACATCTATATTACAAGTAGGTTTTGGTATTTTGATCTGGTACTGTTCTGTTTAGGTGCAAAATCCTGAATTTAAGACTGGTTTTGTGATCTTTTTGACAAATTTCATTGCTTTGTTGGTGATAAATTAATGCGTTTTTTTATATGGATTTTTCAGCAAATGACGATGCCAAGAAACCAGGGGTCAGTGGTTCCCCCTCCCCTGGTACGAGGTGGGCAGCAGGGCCCCCCCAAGTTTTCACACCATCAGTCATCGCAAGTCGTCATGCCCCCACTTGTCCGAGGCCCGCAGGTTTGCATAATTTGCCATTAACAACGCTACCTTGTAACTGAACAAGGAAGATGCTTCATTTTGTGAGACAAATTTATAGGCTATGTCCTAATAGTCATAGGATTTATGATGCATAGATTCTCAATGAAAGCAATATATAAGGATAGTGTACAAGTCAAAGGACATCCCCGTCACATCGCAAGGTGACCAGGAAACTTCTGATTCCAGGTTGTGCAGCCTAACCCAAGCCTGCCCACAATTATAAAAGTCCTTAATGATTACACTATGTAACACAATTTTTGTTCCTAGGTAGTGTTATTTCGTAATTTATTTTGCCTAAAAAGTCTAGAAAATGGCTTATTCCCCACAAACTTTGCTTTTGTGAACAAGACAGTGATATTTAGAAATGTTCCTATTTTCAATGAGAAAACGGGCGAATTTGTGTCTTTTCGATCACATAAAGTCGGAAAAAAACAACATTAATCAAAGTTATATGTAGTTATACTAAAGTAATACAAAAATGACTACAAAAGATTTATAAGTTAGTAGATTTTCGAGATTTACGATTATACTGTAAATCACTTTCACGAATCAGCCCCCAAATGCAGTCTCCCATTATGTTCTCGATATACTGTCCTTGGTAGCGGCGTGCAAAGTGCAGTATATCCTGGTGGAAGCGCTCGCCTTGCTCCTCCGAGTATGCTCCCATGTTCTCCTTGAATTGATCAAGATGAACATCAAGGATATGGACTTTGTGGGACATCCTACAGCCCATTGTGCCATAGTTCTTCACCAGAGTCTCAACCGGCTCCAAATAGTTTTCGATCTTGTGATTGCCCAGGCAGCCACGAACCACTGCGACAAAGCTATTCCAAGCCGCTTTCTCCTTACTAGTGAGCTTCTTGGGGAATTAATTGCACTCCAGGATCTTCTTTATCTGTGGTCCGACGAAGACACCGGCTTTGACCTTTGCCTCAGACAGCCTAGGGAAGTGTCTTGAAGGTACTTGAAGGCTGCCGACTCCTTATCAAACAGCTCTGCTAAATTGTTTCATAAGGTCCAATTTCATGTGCAGTGGTGACATCGGCACCTTCCGGGGGTCCACCAGTGGCTCCCACTTGACATTGTTTCTCCCCACAGAGAACTCGGTCCGCTGTGGCCAGTCCCACCTGTGGTAGTGTGCCTTGGTGTCTAGATATTTTGTAGTCATTTTATATTACGTCAGTATAAATACATGTTAAGTTTGATTCATATGTTGTTTTTTTCTGAATTTATGTGAACGAAAAGACACAAATTCGCCCGTTTTCTCATTGAAAATAGGTACATTTCTAAATATCACTGTCCTGGTCAGAAAAGCAAAGTTTGTGGGGAATAATAGCCGTTTTCTATACTTTTTAGACATAAGCAATTACGAAATAACACTTACTACCCAGGAACAAAAAATAAATTGTTACACAGTGTTATGAGCAGATGCTCGGGGACTACAATGGCATGGAAAGTAACCCAAAGCCCCTGGCCTCTTGGTGGTATTGTAGCCCTTGACCAATTAAAAAAAGCAGAAGTGAAAGCCCTGTTGGTCTTCACGACAGATCTCTGAATTGAGAAAATTAAAAAGAATGACGGGTGGTGGCCGAGGCTAATGATGGAGTGGAAGCCAATTCCAGAGGAAGACATCTACCACATAGATAGCACTGAGATTGACTCTTCTGCAGGAGCTATATGGATTAAAGTGGTGGGCTTGCATCAGAACAAAACAGGTCAGATTGTGTGGGGTCTCCTTAAGGATTACCTTAATTTGAAATAAGTGTCGAAAATTATTTTAGCAACCTGACATTAATTTGTATGTCCTGTGCAAGTAAACACATTTATATTCTTAGGTTTTTTTCGGTAAAGTCACGTAGGTAAAAAATTAAGATTAATTAAAGTAAATTAAAATAAAATAAAAATCACGACGTTTCGGAGGCAACACAAGCTTCCGACTTTACCGAAAAAACCTAAGAATATGAATCCTTGCAGTCACGAAAGCTTCAAATCTAGAAATAAACACATTTACATTAGTCGGCATGTAGTGGCACATCATAACCTAGTTATATTTTCGTTTTTTTTTCCCTTTGTTGACTTGAGCAGATGCATGGTTCGAGACCTGGTACTGCTCCCCCGCCACTCATGATGGCTCCCAGAGTGACAACACCATCCCAGATGCAGGGCTCCAGGGGCCTCTCCTCCAGCGGGCTTGTCCGTGTCACTACTGTGACACCACCAACCTCCGGGGTTGTCAACTACACACAGGTAAGGCTGTGAAAACCAGTAATGTGTGCCAATGTTACATACGCAACACGCCAGGACGCTGGGACTGGTGTGTTCATTTTGGGTGTGATTTTCGTTCGTGCCAATGTCACGGCATAGCGATGTAATTTCCCTGGGTTATTAGACAGGGTGTGTGTGTGAGACTCAATTTGTAAATGTGAAATTATGACAAATGAGTGCCGCTATAGTCTTTCCTTTCCAGTCCAATGTGAATACAGTGCACTGGAAAATTGTGTACAGGTCAGTACAGCTCGATAAACGTATACTCTTAGGTAAATAATCGTGGCAATAGCCACCAGGTCTCATGTGCACAACAGCCGTGGTGGCGAGAGGGTGCCGTGGAACCGAGATGTTAACTACCTCGCCTGGTATACAGGAGGTTGTGGGTTCGGTCCAGACCCTTATGCCTGTATATTTACAGCTTGTATGTTCTCCCCCTGGTCGCGTGCATTTTTCTCCGGGTTCCTTCGGTTTTTTTCTCCACATTTAGAATCAACATACTATAAATGTTTGTGGCCAGGTTGCTTCTGAAAATTACTATAATAGCTCAGTGGGCCTTACCTAGTAAATTAAAAAATGGTTTAGTTTAGTCTGGTCTAGTTGCCATTTTACAGATATTAATTGATCTTCATTTGAAGCTTTCGTGACTGCAGAAATCCATACTTTTTGGTTATTTCGGTAAAATACCTTCGTGACTTTACCAAAAGAACCACAGAGTATAGATAGTACTTGGTTTTCCCCTGGCACAGTTTACCTTCAATATTTTTTTAAATGCAAAATAGAAGTGTAATGTATGGTAAATGTATTGTGTGTGCAAAGTAATCTATCAGAGGGTGTAAATGTGACCTGTAAATACCCAGTGAACAAACGTTTGGTGCATTTTTATGAAGGTATGCTGTGGGGGAGTTGCGCGTATGAAAATTGTTTTCATATTTGTTACAATCGGCCTTATTTCAGTCTTCCAAACGGCATAATTTAAGGTCACTCTCTCTAGGTATCACCATTGCTTGGAAAGAGCTTTTGTTTCATGGTTCATTGTGCTTTGAATAAGGGTTTTCCTGAAATTTTTGTTATTTTTTTGGTGTTTTATAGTGATTAAAAACTCACTTGAATCAATGCACCATCTGTTGATTTTAAGAGTAGAAACTTCTACTCTGGTAATGTACACAGTGTTCTGTTCATGTTATTTACGAGTAGAAAATGTTGCGTATCATGGCATGCTTGTTATTTTGTCCACTTGATTCTTATTTCCACGAAGACTGAGGCTACTTGGAAAAATATGTTTTTCGTTTGCTGCATTGGATCATACCCAGACATGTTTCGCATAACAGATTTACAAGGACAAGTAAATTGCAGCATGACTAAGGTTACAATCTAGTCAATAAAGTTAAATGTTTACTTGCTTTTGGCGAGTTTTAAAGTGTCAATACTCAGGTATAGTGTATTGAACAAACTTAAGCAATTTAGAAAAAAAATTAAATTAACCATCAGCAGGCACAATTCCTGAAAAATATTGAATAAATAATAACCATTTTCTCTGAAATTTCAGGTTTGTATCTATCTCTTACCTGCACCATCATGCCTAATTTTTTACAACCGATTTCAATAACAAGGCCATTCTTAGCTTTAACTAGATTCCCAGTCACAACATTATATCACTATAGCAATATACAAAAACGGTGCAAAACACACCAGCCTAAACTCAGCGTTACATTCTTATCCTGATCGCACCGGCGCTTGTTCCTGCAGGTTCACTGCGTTTAAAAAAAAAATGGTTCTGACTTTGGGCTGTGCAAAATCATACTGCTTAAATATGTTTTTATTACAAACATGAAGAATCCTAGAATCCTCATTCTGCTTAACATGACCTCCATTGTTCGTAGTTTAGATTCATTGCTTCGTGTGTCTTACTAGGCTGATGGTGTCACCCTGGCAAACACTTGACATTATTCAGATTTTATAAACTATCGGAGGAGAAACTCTAAAGTATGAACTGGAAATTCTATCTTGAAGGTGAATCCTATTAATGCACTACAGTGTGGTGTCAAATACGCATGAAAATACTTGAGCAACTTTTGCATAGCGCAGGCCAATATAATAATTGTATTAAATTGTATTAATACCCTGCAGGAAGCCTCACTGAGTCTCAAGACTTTTTCAGGAGGGCCCCCCCCCCCCCCCCCCGACATTGAGATGTTTTTTGTAAATTCCGTGAATGAGTGACGTTTTACATGGAGCACATCTTTCACCGTTGTGATGGTCTGTCCATGTATTGAGCCTCTCGCCGTGCTTTCTGATGCAGAGCATGGTACGTGGATCGGGTGGAGCCAGCTCTTCTCCCACGCCGGCACGCAGCGAGTCGCCCGCCAGCCGCCAGGCGGCAGCGAAGCTGGCGCTGCGCAAACAGCTGGAGAAGACGCTGCTGGAAATCCCACCGCCCAAGCCTCCCCCACCAGAGCTCAACTTCCTGCCCAGCGCTGCCAACAGCGAGTTTGTCTACCTGATTGGGCTGGAGGAGGTGGTGCAGAGCCTGCTGGAGACGCAAGGCGAGAACCATTTTTTTTTATTAAACTCGGTGAACCTGCAGGAGCCAGCGCCGTTGCGATCAGGATAATAATGTGTGTTTAGGCTGGTGTGTATTGCACCGTTTTTATATATTGCTATAGTGATATGTTGTGACTGGGAATCTAGTTTAAACTAAGTATGGCCTTGTTATTGAAATTGGTTGTAAAAAAATAGGCATGATGGTGCAGGTAAGAGATAGATCATGCATGGTAACTTTGGTGGCTGGACTCTATTGTAAATGACGGTGAGTGTGGGCCATGACTCGAGGAGACACTCCTCCTGGTGTAGTGCTCGATAAAAAAAAGTAGAGGGAAACATACGAGTAAAATGATCAGTCATACAGACTAATGGGAAAGGCACCCTTCTTGGAGGTTAAAATAACAAGGGTGTTTAAACTCAATATGCAGTTGTCAGGATGTTGCAAGATAATGCCTTTTATTGGTAACAAATGGCCACCGCCGCAAAGCTAAAAAGAAACTCCTCTTATACCTGCGTTTATCTTTAGGCAAAGCGGCACCACAGCCCATGGGCCGGGAGCCGTTCAAGTGCCTGCAATGCCAAACGGACTTCACTGCGCGCTGGCGGCATGAGAAAGGAGGCACTGTCATCTGCGAACAGTGCCTGTCTTCTAATCAGAAGAAGGCACTTAAGGCTGAGCACACAAACCGCCTCAAGATGGCATTCGTCAAGGCCCTCCAGCAAGAGCAGGTGGGTGTGCTTGAGGTCACGTTGACGTGCAGCCACTTAGTCGCAGTGGGGTATGCTTTTGTGGCACAAGCTCGGCCAATTACGAAGAAAGGCGAATGCATGTTAACATGCCCATTGTTTTACTCCTGGTTATGTATGGAACTGTCAATAGAATTTGGATCCGTAGATGTGCACTGAAAACGGTAAGACCTTTCAGACCATTGGTGATGAAAGATCTGCATGTTCCTCTAGATTTTTGGTGAATCTTTATTCATTTCAAAGGCTTGCAGAAATTGCTGTTTAAAGAGAAGGCAATAAGCTCATGCACCCTTCAGTACAAGATTGCCTGCTAATCTGCATTCATTTTATTAATGTATTGTAACTGAAAAACATTACATTATTAATAATAAAAGCCTGTACAAATATCCTATAACTCTTTAGGCATATTCAATAGCACAACGTGTAAAAGCAAGCAATAATTTTCATATAAATCTGTATATTTGTCTTCCATTAGTTTATAAGTTAACTTTATTTTTAACAATACTTGATGACATTGCTGAAAACACGTTGGTAATGCTGTGAAATCCTGGATTATTTTCTGTTTCACATGTCCACTGAATATTAAACCACTGCTTCTAGTTTTTTAATGTTTTTGCTTTCAACATTATGATTGAACAGATTGATTATTTAAGTTGGAGGCACAATTTTAGTGTGTCGATTTGGGAGTCCATTATAAGTTGATTATTTTTAAAATTACATGGTCGTGTCTCTATCTGCAGGAGATTGAGCAGCAGATCCAGCAGCAAACGGTCTCCACTCCAACACAAAATGCCAAATCTCACATGCAGCAGCTCCCACTTAAACAGGTCTGCCGTTCATTTCATTTTTAAAAGACCTTAACGTATACTGTTATTCCTAACTCTCATGTTTTTCATGTTGTACTTCGTGTTGTTCGGCATGTCAGATGTTTTGCTCCACTTGAAGCGTAATTTCAGATGTGCCGAAAAACATGCAAACGAAACACATCGGAGAGCTATACTGCGCAGTCATGAACTTACATAGTATTCATCTTCTTGGTTCTTTCGGTAAAGTCACGTAGAAGGGAAGTAATAAAATAATAAAAATAAAACATGATAAAATTATGTTTTATTTTTATTATTTTTAACAATACTAAAATTATGTTTTATTTTTATTATTTTATTACTTCCCTTCTACGTGACTTTACCGAAAGAACCAAGAAGATGAATCCCTGCAGTCACGAAAGCTTTAAATCGAAATTTACATAGTATTGCTGTTATTCACCACTGTCCAGCCATTTAAAGTCTACAAGGCGTCTTAACACCACATTTAATTGCTTGGTACCATTCCCTAACTCTTTGCAATGTTGCTTTCTGTGTAGCAGCAGTCCACACGGCCAAGCCAATCAATGGTCCAGCGAGGCCACCAGCCTCAACACCGGGGGGTGCTGCACAGCTTCCCACAGCCACCTCAGATGCAGGCATCCAGCAAGCTGCTCGGGCTGCAAGGTAAGGCCCAAGTCAGGCCTCAAGCCAGGCCCCAAGGGGGCGCAGGCAGAGCTCGAAGGCACGCCGTCGCATCCCACTCAGGTGAAGAAAGTCGGTTTGGTTTTTTTCGCACGCATGCACAAATTTTCACACGCGCTGATGCATACAAGCGTGCGTTTATTAGCTTATTTCTCTTCTCCAAATCATCCTTGCGCTCGGGAAGAATGGGAAGTCTTTTTATCCAAATTACAATATCTTAGCGCGGTATCATTGGTTAATTAGGAGTCTTGGATTTTTTATGACTTTTGACACAATAATGTGTATCGGGTTTATTTATTCATTCTGATGCATAGTAAAACATGCATCATTTCATAACTTTTAAGTGTCATGGTAATAAATACAAAATTGGATTGTGAAATGTTTATAATCAGGATTAGGTTGCCATTTCTTATCTTAAATTACACTTGGTGGTACAAGTGCATATTTTTTGTATTCTCATCATCTCCACATCTTATCTTGCATCGTACTCTTTCAATTTCATTTTGTCTAAATGTTTTGTCCAGCAGGTGTTCGTGCATAACTATTTTTTTTTGCACCACTTGATGATGTTACTTGTCTCAAGTTACATCAAGTGGTGTTTTATCACACTCTCACTCAAATGTCCCACGAACATTTGAGTTTTTGGTACACTGTGCTCTCACCACTCTTAACTGATCTTCCTTCCTGTCCATGCCACAGCCGGGGTGAACATGGCGTACGTCACTCCGAACCTGTCGGGCCAACACAAGCCCTCAACGTCGACGGCTGCATCACCGGCTGAGCGCCAGCGCGAATACCTCCTCGACATGCTACCCTCACGCTCCATCTCTCACCCGACAGTGCACCGCCCTGTGATGGGCTCACGCACGCCCTCCCAGCTGTCGCACGGCGCACGCGTGCCCATGCAGCACGGCGCCGCGTCGCGCGCCACTGCGCACCCGCAGCAGCATCATGGCTCACGGGCCATGGGCCACCACTCGCAGGCCACAGGGCGTGCCGTGCCAGGCACAGGATCGTCACCGTCTGGACGGTCCATGCAGCAGCCATCGGCCAATCGCGCCGTCAACCAGACCACGGCACACGGGCGCTCCCTTGCACAGGGCAATGCAGCACGTTCCGTCACGCAGCCTGCCGGTTCCTGGAAGTAGACCATTTTGTCTTTTTGTCTGCTGCTGCTTGTGGAACCATTGCCACCTTCACAGCGCTGCAAACTCGGAACGATCCATCCCAGTGCACACGACCATCCATAGCTAACGAAAGAATGGTCTGAATGGCTTGTACAAGTGTACCTGTTGCCACAACAGTTTATTCACATCCTACGCCATTGCTATGTTTGCCTGGGATCACCTTCGGTTGCGCCGTGTGAATTGGAAGGTATTTTGTAAAGTGGGAAATTAAATAAAGTTTGTGAAGCATTTGGTAACATATTGACATATGCATAATTCCTTTCAGCCGTTTTCTGGCAGGAGCTCATTTAAACATGGATATTTTTGTTCATTATTTTGCTCGTAAATCTCCCCAAGCTTTAATTAGGTCATAAATGCAAACGAAAATCGCATTTGCCACTTCCACCGCATAGTGCTGAAGAATTGTGCAGCTTTGTAATGTCTCCTTGCTGGCCCAATGGAGATTATTGCACAGTGGTACTGCATTTAAAATCCTCTTCATTCCTCCCATTGCTCACACTTTGCTGAAACAGTTAACTTGGCATACAGCTGGCTGTGGGGAATTTGTGCAACTGTGCTGGAATTGTGAATTTTACTGTAAACCAGAACGGCACATTTATCCTGGCTCAATATATTACATTTAAGTGCACATATTTCTGTGAAGATAAATGTGGCCTTCCCAGTTGTAATTTTTATATCGAGAAAGAGGCACACTTTTATTCCCTTGTGTTTTAGAAAATTAATTTTGACAACTTTGAGTTGCTTGTTTAAGTGTATCCTTTTGGCCATTTGAGGACAAGTTGCTGTCGTGTGTGTAAATAGTCTGGCGTCGATTTAACAAGTTTGCAACTGGGATTCGTTTTGATGGTCATGTCAATTGACCTACATTGATGAACGTGCGACCAACATAAAATGCACCCATCGTCACAATGCAGACTTTAAAACAGCAGCAATGCCCAATATCCCACAGCTCACCTGGCTTACTATTTTCATACACATCACAAGGTGTTAAATAGCGTTTGTAATGAAATATAGCTTCTGTTGTAACTTAAAAAAAAATTGCCACAGTTGCAATTTATTCGTATTTGCGCACAAGCATTAGCTGACCAAATACAGTGATTTCTGACTAGCCACATCGCTTGCATTCCCATCATATTTAGCGAAGCCAATAGTGTTTGAACAGTGGTAAGTCAAAGTAGCCTTTCCGTGGAATTTCCATGGGTTATACTAACAGGGTGTGTAAGGTATAATATCCACGAGGGGCTTATTCGCCCCCCACCCCTTCCAAAGTATGCAACTTTTAAAGGCGGATTCAACATCTTTAAGCTAACTACGCGAACTCCCCTTTATAACGATATGTTTATGCAGCAGAAGCATCGATCTTTGGTGCGAGTCTGCCCTCTACTGTTGAATAGGTGGAATAAGAATTTGTGTGCGCGTTACGTGTAAATGTTATCCTTGACTTGCCATGCCAGTCGCGCACGTTTGAGATTTTTTGCTGACTTTGTAAAGGTAAACAAACATTGTTCGCTGAACACTGCACTTGTTAGCATTGTTTTTCTTTTTGTAAAAAAAAGATTTGCATCTGGCTAGGCTTTGGGTTGTTGTAGATGTATTTTTTTTTCCTTTTGGGAAAAGAGTATAAACACAATTATACTTTGAAAATATGTATACGTTGATATGCATTTATTATACACACGTTGAAGCATAGAGGCTTACTTCAGGTGATCACTTTAATAACATGCAGGTTAAGTGTAACTCGCGATTGCTACAGTGATAATATAATGCTTGTCGAGTAGCGATTCTCTCCAACCCACGGGTGAAAAAGTCAACATGAACATTGTAATCTCAAGGACTTAGTAAAAAGCCATCTGAAGAGCATACTCGCCGGTGTGCTGATATGTATTGACCCTGATTAATGCTGGGTAGAATGCGGACGAGTGCAGCCTTTGACGCGATTTCTGCACGCGAACAACTGAACATCCCCTCCCCCTACTCCAAAACCTATTGCCGCCCGCTGCTCTGTATATACAGGTATTTATAAGACGGTTTGCATACCCTTTGGTTCTTTCGGTAAAGTCACGTATGAAGATAAAATAATTAAATACTAGCATACGACGTTTCGATTGCAACACAAGCAATCCTCATCAGGTATAAATGAAATAGAAACACAAATCTAGTATACTTAGAAATGTAATGAAATACAACAGAGAGTCGGATAACATAAAGTCAACAAAACACCCTTTGCATACCAGCAAGGATGTTGAGGTGTTTTGGCAAGTGCGCCGTTTTAGTGGACTTCAAGTGTGTTCTTGTGCGTGAGCGGGTTGAATCTGCATATGCAGTGCTTGTGAATCTTCGTGACTGGTTGACATTAGACCTCTCCCTTGAGGTGCCCGACTACGTTTTGCCAACGCATCGAAACCACACGCGGTGTTCCAGTGCACGTGTTCCTTTTAGGCCGATTAGTGAACATGTACTTTGGAACACGAGTTAACTGTAAGAGATTTTTTTTTTTGAACATTTGGCTGCGACGTGGGTCAATTACTGGTCGTGTTGGCTACTGTATGGTTGGTTATCTTTTTTTTGTAATCTGAGAATGTGCACGGTAATATATTCGTTCTTCCCCTTCTCATATAGCTTTAAGTTGTGTGCATTGTTTAATTTCTGTACTCTGTCAACCTGGCGATCTTGTCACGTTTTCATATGGCGTGAATGAGAGCAGGCCATGCTAGCTTTAGCTTACTGTCGGGTACTATTTTGTTGTAGCCAGTAGGACAATTGTCGTTGCTGTTTTGTAAATCGAATGCACGAAAATTATCTGAATGGGGTTCCGTTTCTCAGCTTTTTTTTCAAATATCTCTCTTCCCCAATACCCTCATCCCACCTCTTCTCCCCTCCAGCCTCTTTTTTTTCTCGATTTTACTGAAACAGCGACAGGGTCTTGCAAGGAGAAATGAGTGTAAATGTGTTTTTTGTTGTACCTATACATATGTAATTTTCGTTAAGGTTTTTTTTTTTCATGGACAACGCAGACAAACTTTGTTATACTTGGTCTCCACGGTAAATAAAACTTGAACGATTTCCCGTTAATGTTGAGATAGCTGTCGCTAGAGAGAAATAAAACAGACAATTTTTTGGGTGTTTTGTGTGTAACGTATGTATAGCAGCGATTGTTATTTCTCAATGCAGAGAAGATTATGCGAGCTTTGTCTTACTGAAGGATGTAACTTTTGTACAATAAAGGAGTAGGTTAATATGTTTGAACTTTGCACAAGTGTGAAAGTTCTATTTTTTATAAGGCCCTCCCTTAGCGTATACAAGTGCAGGACGTATAGCATTGCTCAAATCTGTTCCGTCATCTTTTGCTCTGTAATTGCATTCCCTCATGCACGGCTGTAAAAAAGGACGTGTTATTAAAAGTGCGTTGTAATAAACTTGTAAAAAAAAAACTCCACGGACTTTCTGTCTGTGTTCGCGCGTGTGTCACGACAGATTCAGACGCCCGCTTGACAACTCTCCATCTCCAAATCATTCAATCTTGAGGATGCGTGGGGTAAAAGATTGAAGAGGGATCGTATCAACAGGTGCTCGGCCGGGTGATGCTGGCCACCAGCCCTCTTGTGTGCCGTGCCACCCTTCATAGGTGCTCTTCGCTAACAGCACTTGCCCCAACATTCTGTTAAAGCTATGGGGTGGGTGGGTGGGGTGTTGTCTGGGGTTCAAGATTGAAGAGTTAGCATGTCACCCGGTGCAGCACTATACCAGTGGCTCCATAAAAATAAAACAAAACAATTATCACGACGTTTCGAGTGCAACACAAGCAATCATCATCAGGTGTGAAAACCACAGCAGGAAAATTTGAAAAAAGTCGTTTTTTTCTTAAACTTTTTTTCAAAATTTCTTGCTGTGGTTTTCACACCTGATGATGATTGCTTGTGTTGCAATCGAAACGTCATGAGAATTTTATTGTTTTATTTTTATTTAATGATTTCCCTTCTACGTGACTTTCCTGCAGTCACGAAAGCTTCAAATCTAGATTTGTTATCATGTCACGGTGTATTCTCTGTTTATTTTTTTCCACAAAAAAAAGATAGTCCCGTTTAAGTGTTACCAATTATTTTTTATTTTGTCCGAAGCGCCCTGTATGTCGTTGGATAGTCTGCAATCGAGGATTAAATCACTCTTCGTTGTCTGAATGTTAAAGAACACATTCCTGCGGAGGGAGCTGGTAGGAACGTTGGGTTGCTCGGTCAATGGCCAGGGTCAACGGCGGCGTGGTGTATTCCGCAAATCTGCCCGACTGTGAGGGCGAGCACAAGCCGGCGTGAGTAGGTTAAACGTTGAGTTTTATAAGGGCACCACGGGGTGACCAGCCCCTCCCCACTCAGCCCCACCCCTCCCACCCCCACCCTCCCCACCCAGCCCCTCCCCACCCTCCCCACCCAGCCCCTCCCCACTCAGCCCCTCCCCACTCAGCCCCACCCCTCTCACCCCCCACCCAGCCCCACCCTCCCCACCCAGCCCCTCCCCCACCCCCACCCCCTCCCCACCCAGCCCCTCCCCACCCTCCCCTCCTCACCCAGTCCCTCCCCACCCTCCCCTCCCCACCCAGCCCCTCCCCACCCAGCCCCACCCTCCCCTCCCCACCCAGCCCCTCCCCACCCTCCCCTCCTCACCCAGCCCCCCCCCTCCCCACCCTCCCCTCCCCACCCAGCCCCTCCCAGCCCACCCTCCCCACCCAGCTCCTTCCCCACCCAGCCCCTCCCTGCACGACGGACGGACGGACGGACACAACAATCCCGTGTGGGCTGGTGCAACGAGGAGGTAGCTGCCACTAGCACCGTGCGTGTGCACGCACCAATGGGAACCCGCCTCTGGCTGGGGTCACGCGACTTCCGGTAACCGTCGAGGTGCCGCAGACAAGTCGGCGAGTCCCACGCGGAGCTGTTCCTGCCCCAACGGGACGGGGGCTTCCGATTGATTTGACCGAGTAATATTTGAAAACTAACAACAACACTAAACTACCTTTTGTTATTCTAAGGTCGAGGAGGTAAGGCTTTGTCGATTTGCACGTAACAGCTTTGGTTGGCGGCCGTTGTGTTCAGCGCGGCCTTCCCGCGCAGGGCTCGTTGTGGTCGGGTAATAGAAACAACGCTGCGTTTTTAAAACACTGCATCTTATTTATATGCACACACACACACACGCAGTGTTTCTCTCTGTACGCGATAAACACGACACGCGTCTGAGCTGTTACACAAGAAGGTGTTTGTACAACGCCTCCCGACGAAATATCGCGGCCTTGGTGCTGCTTGGGATGGGCCATCAACTTGCGAGGCCTCAATAATAACGCTGTGTAACCACATTTATAAAAAAAAAATATTTACACTGTAAAGCTTTCGTGACTGCAGGGAATTCATCTTCTTGGTTCTTTCGGTAAAGTCACGTAGAAAGGAAATAATAAAATAATAAAAAAATTTATACAACATTTCTATTTTATTTTTATTATTTCACATTTGTTAATCTTTTGTTGTCTGGGTAGTAAGTGTTATTCCCTAATTGCGTATGCCTCAAAAGTACAGAACATGGCTAGTAGTCATTTTTGTATTACGTCAATATAAATACATGTTAATTTTGATTCATATGTTGTATTTTTTCTCAATTGACGTGAACGAAAAGACACAAATTCGCCCGTTTTCTCATTGAAAATAGGTACATTTCTACATATCACTGGCCTGGTCACAAAAGCAAAGTTTGTGGGGAATAATATAAATTTTTATTATTAGAAAATAACACTAGCCAGGAACAAAAATCGTGTTACACCGTGTTACAATCGGCGTCATTGGAGGATATAAATACTGTACAGGAATAAACTAAGTAACCGAATTGAGTTGTCATATCCACATGACGTACAGCCGTCTCAATACGGGCACATTTTGTTGTCTTTGTGTTTCTCCCTTGTGATGGGGCTTTATAGGATGAACGTTGAAATGTATAAGGTCACAGAGTGACCAATAAGGTCTGAATTGGTCTGTAATAAGGTAGGCACTGATAAGGGGTTGACAGGTATGTATAGTGGTGATTGTCTATTTGTTTACTAATAGGGGTTTTCCCCTTTTTTCTGGCAACAAAACTGACACCTTTTGCAAGCAATCATGTTAACATTAACCACAATATTTGCAGTCAAATGCAAACAAAAAAGCATACTCTGATAAATTTCGATTTAAAGCTTTCGTGACTGCAGGGATTCATCTTCTTGGTTCTTTCGGTAAAGTCACGTAGAAGGGAAGTAATACAATAATAAAAATAAAACATTTTATAATAATAAAAATAAAACATTTTATTATGTTTTATTTCTTAGAGCCGAGTCTCAACCAGAGGACGCCAAAAGGCACACAGTTCAAAGACAACGCACTATCAGAGTAATAAGAGCCTGGGGTAAGCGCAAAAAAAGGGGGAGAACCCTATTAGTATATTTTGGTACTGGCAAAGGAGGCCCCATGATGTCTATTTGTTTGAGGTCAATAATACATAGTTGTCAAACCCTTATCGGTGCCTACCTTATTGCAGACCAATTCAGACCTTATTGGTCACCCCATGACCTTATAAATCTCAACGTTCATCTTCCAAAGTCCCATCGCAAGGGAGAAACACAAACAAATAGACAATCACCACCACGACACTCACCACTATACATACCTGTCAACCCCTTATCAGTGCCTACCTTATTGCAGACCAATTCAGACCTTATTGGGCACCCCGTGAACTTATAAATCTCAACATTAATTCTACAAAGTCCCATCACAAGGGAGAAACACAAACAGACAACAATTTTGTTTTCTTTTCCTGTATTGAACGCCGTATGGACCTGAAAAGTAAATTTTCCTGGACAAGAATACTGGTAAACCGTATGAGTTTACAGGTATGGGAACGCATCCACAAAGTAAACCAGGGTCATTATTGTACATGTATTGTTTTTTTTCCCAAAAAAGCCTCATTGAGTCCTAGAAATCATGTGCAAGAGGGTTCTGCTTTGGGGTGTTTGACCATTGCGATCCACCAACAATGCCAATCAAAGAAATAGACATTCTTCAGAAACTGAATTGCACTTAACTAAAATTTCGAGACGAATTGCGGAGTGGCAGCCGAGGGAGGGAGCGCAACCAAGATGGAGCGATGAAATCAACTCGTATGCATGTGCTAGGTGGATTGTTACACTGCGGGACCTTGAGAGATATCGGTGGCTTGGGGAGGCCTTCATACAGCAGTGGATTGATCATGGCTGATAAAGAATAGGCAAAGTTCAAGAGCAGCAAAACGGCAGAAACACTTGACTGATGTCCATTGCGGAATGCTTCTGAAGGGCGGAAACATGGGTTCCAAGCGCATCTCGCAGGAGACCTTTGACGGCGTGGTGAGGGAGAACATCGCAGAGTTTAGCATGGAGCCCGAGGAAGCGTTGCAGGAGGCCGTGGAGCAGTTTGAGTTACAGGGTGAGCCTCTCTGCAGTGGAGCCATGTACAGTTTCTGCTTGTACCTGTGCTATACATACCTTCAATCATACATTTTTTTCTTGATGATAATGAACTATACATTTTAACCACCTGCCCAGCTACAGAGCGCTATGTCCAACTGACAGTTTTAATTTTGGCCAAGTTAAGTGCAGAATATACTAAGATTTGGTTTTGTGCAGTCATTGCTGACCAGGCTGAGACTGTCATCTTGGTAAACTTGGACAACCCATCATAACTAGGACAGCTGAAACACACATTTCATCTCAGGATCTCAGTGGTGCCAAATCAACACGATGACTTCCGAGTCCCCCAGCCACCTTCAGCATCAATTGTTGAATTTAATCATGCGTGCACATGCCTAATTGCCTTATATCCAGAATATAACATGTACGGTTCTGAGGCCCATGCAGACGACATACTGAATGATGTGTGGCTTACGGTAGTTGGATGTGTTGTGGTACAAACGTGACCCTGATTTCACACACACCAGTCCCCTTTCGACCCCAGTTCTGGTGAGGCTGCAAACAACACTATTTTGAATACTTTGAGAATGCAGCCCACTCATTGTATAATTGGCTGAAGTGACCCATGGCTAAAAATAACTGACGACCCTATTTTAGATTAAGACCTTTCATTGTATCCAGAGTAATGTGCGTTGGAGGGAATATTACATTGAATTTTGGATTAAGTTCAAAGGCTTTTATCTGTTCCAAACTTCATTCCACGATTGCTTCAATTCCAATTTATTCAAAATGCTTTAGTAGTCATCTGAATATTAAACGAGCTTCACATTGATATGATAATTTTGGTTTCCATAGCCCGAGTTTTAATAAATCAAGCCAATCAGTTATTAATCAAACAGACTGCGATATTATTTAAAGGTCCGTTTTGTTTTTCCAGGCGTTAACTTAACCAACATAGTGAAGGAAGTACCTAAAGTGGCTTCGGAAGAGTCTGGAGATGAAGAGCATGAGGTCCTTAAGGTAGTACAATTTATCCAAATGAAATGCATGGGGATTTCAGAGTCCATTAAGGTTGCAGCGCTCCAAAACGGTAACTCGTCTCGTGCGGTGTGTAGGTGCTGCGAAGCGTGGAGGAGGCGGCCCTAAGAACCACGTCACTTGCGGGGGTGGTCGCGCCACTCGAACTGCTCACTGCCCACTGCAGGAAGGAGTTCAGCCAGCGGAACTTGATTGCGCTGCACGGAGCATACGCAGTGCTCGTGTCCATCTGCAAGGAGGCATTAGCCCAAGAAGACACTAACATTCTGACCAAAGCAGTGTTGGCACTCGCTGCATTTTTAGATGGCCAGCCCGACATACTGGACACCGATGGTCAGGAGCTGCTCATTAAGGTCCTTTCACTGGGCCCGAATGTGTAAGTAAATCCAATGATTTATATAATGTAAAAAATCACGCAATTAATTTTATTTGGGTGGGCGGGTGGGGGGGTTTCTTTGTATTCTGTGCCTTTTGAAGTTGTATTCGATGAGATGTATTAATTATCATGTAGTAGCCCATTTAGCTACATGGGTATTTCAAGAAAGACGTGAGAAAACTTCAGAAAATACAAGCACAAGCAGACTAAATGAAAAATGCAAACCCATGCAAAGAGTCGTGCCCATGTCAGAACTATGAAGAATATATAATTCCATTAGTGATAAATAAAACGTCACTGTAGTCTCATATCCAACTAGCTAATGTGAACATCTATAGACAATGACAGTTACAGCATGCACAGTTAATTTACCGGACACCTTCGTACTCTTCAAGTGAAAGTACACCAGTTTTTTTTACATTTATGTAAAGGTCAGATTTTAAGTTTCTGTACCATTGATTAATATTCTAACATAGTCATACCCGAGCAAATAATATGCATTTGTAGAAAATAACAGTTACTTCTAGATTTGAAACTTTCGTGACTGCAAGGATTCCTACTCTTAGTTCTTTCGGTAAAGTCACGTAGGTCAAAAATGAAATCAAAATTAATAAAAATAAAACAATAAAATCACGTGATTTTTTTAATTTTTTACCTACGTAACTTTACCGAAATAACTAAGAGTATAATAACAGTTACACTGGGTGGTTGATTGGTCAGGGTGATTGTGTGCCGGTTGGATTGTGACCTTTCTGCATACATGTTGCTTCACTGTGTGCTCTCTTTTGTTAGGTCCACGATGGAGGCGGCGGCACGGGCAGTTCGGGCTTCCTGCGTGAAACACGAGGCGAACCGGCAGGCACTGGTGAAGCTCGGTGTGCTGCCCCTGCTTACGGGCGCCGTCGCGGTGGTGGGTGCACCCAACACCGTCAGGGAGGCATGCGCCGCGCTGCGGGTCATGACTTTCGATGACGACATTCGTGTGCCCTTTGGGCAAGCCCACGATCATGCCAAGATGATCGTGCTGGAGAACAGTGGCCTGAAGGTGCTGGTGGAGGCGTCAAAAGGTGCCCTCACACGTTCTACCCCCAAATCTGATTTTCATTTTATCATATTCCACTCGCGAAAACACACACACCTGTAATTGTTTCTTTTGTGTATTATCGGATGAGTATAAAATAGTGCCCAGAGTAGTGAGGATTTGGTTCATGTGCAATAGATGAGTTCAGTGGCTCACTATTTGGTTGATGGTCTGGTTGTTTCCGTAATCTCATGCCAAGCAATTCAGTGGATCAATGAAGCCCATTTTTTTCTCCAGAGTTGATCAAATTAATGACACTGTGGTAAATAAACAAAAGCTGTCCCAATTGAGAAACTGGCCTATGTGACAAAATTGTGTAATTGCTACCACTGGGCCAGAATCACCACTAAAAACGAGCACTACTCAACACTACTATTTGATGTAGCACACACACTTCAGATTTTTTTTATTTATTGAGATGTCTTACATTTTCCTTTCCCCACCCAGCTTACCCAAATAGTCTGCCTGTTCTGAGTGAGCTGTGTGCCACCATCGCAAAGCTTGCCGTCCGTAACGAGTTCTGTCAAGATATTGTGGAGCTCGGAGGACTCGACTTTACTCTGGCGCTGCTGGCGGATTATCTGGACCACCAGGTGTGTATTTATTTAAGTGCGGAGGTGTGCATCACAGTCATATACACAAGATAAAATGTAATTGAAATATCACAATGAAGCAAGCAACTGCTTGCTATACTGCATCATACAGACCTCTTTGTCGTCCTGGAGGTGGGTATAATGCATGATGTCCGCATGGTCTGCCGAACCCATCTTTAAAGTACTGGATTGCAGGTGTGTGCAACCACAATGCCTGCCGGAAAAAAAGAAAACCTCCCCTTCTCTAAAGTCTATGCTCGTTCTCACAACTTTTTATCCAGGATCTGGTGAAGAACGTCCTGAGCACACTGCGTGCGATCGCGGCCAACGACGATGTCAAGGAAGCCGTTGTGGCCGCGGGAGGAACCAACGTCATCGTTATGGCCATGAACCACCATCTCGGCAACCCACAGGTGCCTGGCTGAGTCCTTCATCTTCCAATTTACTAACGTGCGCATGTTTGTACAGTGGTATAGTGGTTGGCATACTGCGCCACGCACCCGGCAACCTGGTTTCCATTCCCAGCCATGGCTAACAACATTAGAGTGACATCAGAACCCTTCCTGGTCCTCCTCTAGGCCAACTCGGTCTTAAATGAGTACCAGGGGGCAATCTGGTACTGGCCACACCCCATCCACCTCCAACGTGCCATGCTGGCCTTAATAAGTGCTTGTTAATAGTCTATAAAGGGATATTTGTATTTTGTATTGTTACATATACATTGCCACTGCTCGTCTTCCAACAGCTGTGCGAGCAGGCATGCGCGGCCCTCTCCGTGCTCGCGCTCCGAAATACGCAGAACTGCAGCGCCATCATAGAATGTGGCGGTGCATTGGCCATTCTGCAGGCAATGAAAAATCACCCTAAGGAGGCAAACGTACAGGTAAGCCCTGCTCGCATCGCTGTACAACCCATCTGTGGTTCTTGACTCAATCCTGCAAGGAAGAGACCACACTTAAATCGTGTGTTCAGCTGTGCCTTAACAAAAAAAATCTGATTGTGTTATTCATCATCAGCCATAGCAGAGGTCGCAAATGGGTTTTGATTCCTTACCCGTACCCGGCCGCACCAGGGTCACAAATGGGTACCCGTACCCTACCCGAAATGAGTGACGAACGGTTACTCACCAGTGACTTACGGCCTACCCGTACCCGGCCGCACCAGGGTTATTCATCATCAGCCATGGCCGGGTACGGGTAGCCGGGTATCGGGTAGGGTACGGGTATCGGGTACCCGATTGCGACCTCCGAGCCATAGTCAACTGTTACATGAATAACTCCCATTAGTCATCACTATCTATGGTCCTGTGATTAAACAATACAGTTTTGGTGCAGGGGAAGGGAACCTAGAGTCCAGTCTTCATTTCATACAAAGCTAGTAGCCTACCACTTTTAAACGGCCCGCAAACAATATCCAGCAATGCAAACATCTTTGCGACACAAAATGGGTAGAAGAGGGGAATGTTTTTGGCCTTGCAATGCTGTTTATAATTTTTTGCATGCTCAAATCACTTCTGCCAGGGCCTGTTGCAGTGACAAGTGACTGATGTCTATTGTGTTCACACGTCATTCCCACAGAGGCAGGCATGCATGGTTCTGCGGAACTTGGTGTCACGCACACAGGAGCTGTGTAAGCCACTGCTCGAACTGGGGGCAGAGCCACTCATCCTGCAGGCGCGCGCCAACCACAGCAGCTGCCACGACGCCGCCAAGGCCGCCCTGCGCGACCTTGGCTGCAGCGTCAAACTTACCGAGCTATGGACGGGCGAGAAAGGCAGCATCGGCAAGTGACATGGACCCACGGACATCTAGGGTGGCCAAGCTTTGCTCCACACCGTGGCAGCATAGGGGCTGCTCAAACTGTTGCGGAACAATGAGTCAACTCATCATAAGAAGCCTTCTGTCACCTGAGCTCGTGCAATGCTTGCTTGTGATGGCACTACTTTACACTGTTGTGGCAGTCGAGTGTAAATCATTAATGTTATGATTTATCTGAAGGTCCACGGTTTCTTGAGAATGTTCATTAAATTATTTATCCAAATTAAGTGGTTATGTTTACAGTGTGTGTGTGTGTACGCTCAAAGTTCTGCAGTAAAACCCCGGCTAGCCAGACCAATAGAGCGGGTGAACCCTGGTTTGGTTGGAAAAGGATAGTTTTAACAGTATTGTTGAGCAAATAAAGTTACAATCCATTTCAAATATAAAACAAATAATAAAACGAGATGGATTTACCAGTTTATTTGGGCAGTTCTCACATTCATATTTATGTTATCAAAGACCTATTGTAAATTTGTGTGGTTTTATTGCCCGTGCCCTTAATATGGTCAGACATTGTAGTGTTATTCGTAAGGCAATCATAAATCATATTTGATTCGTCCTACAATATAATTGCTTTAAACAGAAGATTGGCCTTTCACAAACTGTGTTGTGTAATCGTATGTCTAACTTAAGGCAACACATAATGAGCAGTTCCTTTTTATAAGACATTAATATACTTTACTATTAATGTTTGGGCAGTGTTTTTCACTGGTTGTGTGCAAAATGGTATAATGAACATGTATGATATCGATATAATTAAATATTGAATATGCGATATTGTTGTGATCGAACATTGTTTTTTATCATTTACACATGGATTATTCACCCTCTGGAAAATAAGGCTTCTACTCAAGTACTCCACCTCCAAACATATTTTAATAACCAGCCGTTTTTAAATAACGTAAATTAAGAGGGTGGAGCATGCATATAAAGACCAATATTTTTCAAAAAAGGCACTTAGCACATGAATCTGCAATTCCTTACAGAATAAATTAAGTTCACATGCAAACGCACTCATTTGTTCTGAAACAAGTGAAAACGGCCAATATACATATGTTGACTTGAATAGCCAGCGGCTGGAATAAGTTTCACACATCAATTATAAAACACGATCATGCTGCATTTTATGAATGTTTCAACTTAGGCAATCCCACGTAAGATGATGCTGAGGCACGAGTCTGAATTTTCACCTCAAGATAAAAGAAAATATTTGCTGAAAGCATAGGACTTACAAAGTTTAACCACAAGTTTTGCGAATTGAACAAACAATCTAGCACGAGTTAAGTGCATTAACTAGCATGGTGAAATGTACAATTAAGTTGTGAATAATTCTTGACAATTCAATGCATGATTTAAAGCAAAACTAAAAAGCAGCTCAGGCTGTTTATAGTGTGAATTTTAAAAGTACAGACACATACAACTTGCAGCAAAGGTATTTAAGGTACTTTGGTTACCAATTGTCAAGTTAATAGTTTTTTTAGATTGAGATAAGTGCATTCCTATATTATTCTTTCACGAAACACAATGTAAATTTTTGAGAAAATTACACCAAAGAAACGCACCATGACATTCACCAGTGACGTAAACAAAAGCGCACCAGGACAATAGTTGTAAACGAATTCACTACATTAACAATTGATCCTTGTGGCGGTACCCCGGGATACCAAATAATACAAAATGGCCGAGGCAATCCAATATTTGATTTCTGGGACACTATTTTTTCCAGGGGTGTACTTAACTCCGCATCTGGGGTACCAATCAATCCGAAATCAGTGCCGCTCCGCGAGGTCGAAACGCAGCGAGGACGATTGCGCTGAAACCCCGAACGCTCGTACGCACCGTAGTGGTGCATCGTGTACAGCTCGTCGAGACGAGTCGATTGCCGCATCGCCGACCATCAACAGACTAAAAATGACTTCATCACAGACATTATACGAGAGCCGGGGTACGATGATACCCCGGGGTACCGCCATAAGGTTCAATTAACAAAGATGCGCCAGATGTCCCAAGAGTTCAAAAGAAGCACATCGTGCTCAGGCTGTCAAACAGCGAAAGATTCTTGCTTTAGGATGCAGGCAGGCAGGAGGGGGACAATCACCACTGCCATCAGTCGCCCGAGAGGTAGCGTCTCCAGTAGTGCAGCACCGTTGGGGAGTTGAGTGCTCCTAGGAGAAGGAGAATGAGGCCGTAGATCGCCATCCCCACCGCAAACCGGTGCCGTCCCAGCCATGATCGCTGCCACGGAATGCTGGAATTAGATTCAAGATAAAAATCAGCACCCATTGTATCAATGCACTGCACTGCGTGTTGTGTGTTTAAAAGTACATTTCATTGGGGAATAAAAACCTTTGCAGGAAGTACAAAAGATATACATTGTTATACTGTAATGTTCCCACATCTATATTCCCCACATTTGCCAACCCGCACTGGCCAACATGCTGATGTATGGTCCAATAAACCCCGCAACCTGTATCAGATGGGAGTGCCTCATCCAGCAGTGGTTTAACAAACGGGCTGTACATATAGTCTGACCTGTGATGCTGAGACTTCCGAGCGTAGAGCAGAAGGTAGCGCACCCGCAGGAGCTGATTGTTGGTGACGACGTAGTATTTCTGTGGGACGTCTCCACCCTCGCTGTGCCGTGCACGTGCCCTCCTCCGGTCCAAGCCGTCGGCATCTGAGCAGATATGTATTTGTAGTTTGTAGCTTTAGACTATGTAAGCATGTTTCATTTCAGCATATAAACCATAGCATCTGCTTTCTGGTGTCATGAACATCACAACCATTCATAAAGCCATGTTCAAACAAATGCTTGTGTTAAAAAAAATATAATAATAAATATTAAAAATAACCATGGGATTGGTGAATTTATCAGTATTCTGGCTGACTGTGTGCTCCTAATTGAGATGAAATTGAGCCCCAAATACGTAAGCGTGCAAATGAAGCCGGGCATTGTCGGACCTTTCCGCTTGACCTGGCACTTGACGTCGGGGTGGTCGATGACCTCGCACACTGCGACGCAGCTGAGTGCGGCACCGAGAGTGCTCAGCCTCCACGCCTGCGAGTGCGGACTGTAGAGCAGCGCCAGGCTCAAGTCGCTTGTTAGGTAAGTGCCCTCGCCAAACAGCGCCGTCTGCCAGCACGTGCGACAAACAGTTCCGTAAAGTGGTCAATCGTCTCCGGTCACATGCAGGTAAGGATTACAATGGCATAACATTTAAACTGTAGTATACTGATTTAAAGCTTTCGTGACTGCAGGGATTCATCTTCTTGGTTCTTTCGGTAAAGTCACGTAGAAGGGAGATAATAAAATAATAACATTTCAGACGCTGTCTTTCCGACAGACCTGTTCTTCACCTGACGGCTGCTTGCGTTGTGGCCGAAACGTCGTGAGAATTGTATTATTTTATTATGTTTAATTTTTTTAAATTTATTATCTCCTTTCTACGTGAGATGTAGTATACTGCCTTTTGAGGATAACTATTTCAAAGCACTTTACAATTATGACATAGAACCCTGTAATGAGCTGAGTTACTAAAAGAGAAGTATTTTTTCCCAGCCATTTCGAAGTGGATATGATGGACTGTTAAGTTGACCCAGGATAGGAATGATTGGAGAAAGAGGATCAAAAAGGCAGACCCCCACATGAATGGGAAAAATGGCATGAAGTAATTAATTTTCCCCATAATGCGTTGCAACCTAAACATTCTTCAGCTCGGCCCACTGTCATCGTGCTATTTGAAACATTGGAGGGGCCATGGGGTGAGAAGAGGGCACGCACCTTGTTGAGGTGGCAATGCAGGCCGTTGTGGAGGATCGAATGGAAGTTCTCAAACCGACTGCCGTGGTAGGCGTACAGTATGTCCAGCTCCCCACGCATTTCCCGAAAGCGGCGCTCGGCCGTGTCGCTGTACGTCACCGAGAAAACGAAGTCTGGCGCGGGGACCGGCACGCCTGGGGAACCCGTCAGTGCCTCAATCTTGGAAAACTAGGATCAGAGAACACACAAGGGTTAATTTGCATGGAGTACACCAACTACTTATTTATATGAAATGAATTTAATCAATTAAAGCATTTAGGTCTTATTGGTTAACAAGAGTCCAGAACAATTAAATGGTTAAACTATTACATGTACACTCTCTTGTCAATCCACTGCTGGCTGAGGGGTTCCCCTCACCATGTGGTTGTGGGAGTTTTTTTTTTTTAATCATACTTCACCACCCTGGTCAGCATGAGTTGGTGAAGGTGGGGAACATAGATATGGCAGCATAGTACAGTGGATCGATGGCTTTTGCTACACTGCCCGATGCAGCAACCGATATAACCTGTTTTATGCAAGGTGGTCACTCATCCGAGCGTTCAACCTCAACCTGCTTAGCTTTTGAGATGTAATGAGATTGGGCACATTGCAGACAATTTGGTCATAGGCAGCAACGTTTTACAGTACAGTAATTAAAATAAATAAAATGAAGCAGGCGTGCTTTAGTAAGCACGTGGTGCCATGAACGCAGCAATGGCAAGTTCCTGGCCACAGCTAACGTCAGTAGTGTGATATCTGAACTGGGCACCTTCAACAAGGTAAAACAATCCCCATGACCGAAAGACATGGGGAGACCTTGAATTTCTGAAGGGATTTTATTTATTAGTTGAAAACAATTATTCCAAAACAAACATTCTGCAATGACCAGTAACCGTTGGAATGACCATCTGACATTAAATTTTATCATCATCAGTCATAACATAGCATAAACTTCTTCTTGTTTCTTTCGGTAAAGTCACGTAGAAGGGAAGTAATAAAATAATAAAAATAAAACATAATAAAACAATTCTCACGACGTTTCGGCTACAACGCAAGCAGCGTTGTAGCCGAAACGTCGTGAGAATTGTTTTATTATGTTTTATTTTTATTATTTTATTACTTCCCTTCTACGTGACTTTACCGAAAGAAACAAGAAGATGAATCCCTGCAGTCACGAAAGCTTTAAATCGAAATAGCATAAACTGTTATAGTACTAAGGCGACGTTACAAAATTTGCACGGATTGTCAATTAAATCGCTCCACTGTAAAACTAGCATTGCATTCACGTAAGACTGACTTGTGGAGAATTCAGTTTGCTTGCCTTAAACAGCTATTACACAAACATCACGAAAGGCAAAGCAGGTGACATTGGTGATGATCTAAAGAACATACTGTTATCAAGACAATCAATTGCATGTTCGAGCAGGTGAAGCAAGCATGAGGGAAGCTTATACAGTGACCATATGCATTCCTAAAAAGCAATCCCACTAATCAATGGCAACCCTTGGCAATTAAAAGCTTGAGTGATGAACTGGGTTTTAAGATGGAGATGATGTAAGTTCAGCTTGGCTTGTGATGTATTACAACATGAGCAGAGATCAGAAAAAAAGTGTTGATCAAAACAGTGACTCGTAAAAATGCAATCTGGATTTAGAGTGTGTGAATGTAACCACACTATAAATACGCTTTAAAAACTGGGGAGACACACGTAAGGATTGCCACACATGCATCATATCCACAGCACATATTGAATATTAGTCCCCGCAGCTCTATTTCTACTACCGGTACTTAAATAGCTTGTATAATTTTCCATCATTGTCCCAGACACATATTTGCCAGGATATACGAATCTTAAGTTCAACACTCTCCCGCATTCTCTTTTGGTAAATTCAAAGGTGAACATTGAGACAAACTGAAGAGGGGGTTTTCCTCTGATATGTTGTGAAAGGGAGCAAATTAATTAAATGCTAAAGGGAAGAGACAGGAATGGATGGTAAGGTTGACAATTAAGACACTTTATACAGACATAGACATATAGGAAGAGTTTAGACAGGACCTGAACAGAGGTAGGTTTATTATTTTGTATTAGATTACATTAACTAAGTAATAAGTCAAAGGACCAGAATTGTCCATTTTGCAAGAGTCACCTGGGCCACCAAAGTGTGCAAAGCAAATATAAATAAAAAACAATCAAAGAAAAATCATAGAAAATACAATCAAGAAAATGTAATAACCGCATTACAGAATAAAAAATACCACGCAAACATCCATTTTAAATTGGTTCAGACAAATTACTTTTAATAATTGTTCACTGTACAATTGAGTTACGTATGTTGAACTTCGTGCGCACCATAGGTAACCAACCGTGCTAATCGGACGTGTGGAGAAAAGGTGAAAGAAATAAACATTCAAGTGGAATTTGGATTATAATTGCACAAGTATGTTAACAGACAAGGCTATATCTCAACAACTATCAAGTTGTACAGTACAAAATCGACAATCTAAATTTCACCCAGGTGAAAGCTACTGTTTTTGAGGCCAAAGTCTATGTCAGAGAAGTGGTGGGGGGAGACCTCTGTTGCGTTCAAATCATGTGCTTTACCATAAACATACACCCTCCCCCCACCACCACATTCACCACACTGGCTATAACGATGAAGCCTGGCATGGCGACCCCACACCACACCACCTCACCTCGTCCTTCCTCTGGCTGGAGATGGTGAAGTTCTTGGACGTGAGTGTCCAGTGCAGGAGTTCCAGGATGCGGGGATCAACGTCCACATCCTCGCGGAGAAGCTGCTGAACACTCGGCACGGTGCTCATGTCCGCCAGCTGCACCCACCCATCGGGAAGGAACGTGGATCGTGAACACATTTGTGAAATAGTTCAGAAAAACCCCACAGGTGGTTGTATATAACAGCCGTCGTCGGTGCAACTTATGGTGGCCACCTTTTTAATATTCACTGGAGACCAAAAATTGTGAGATATGTCGTCACAAAGGTCAACACAAATCCACCAGACCTTGGTACAAATTAACTCCTGCCACCTCAAACATTACCTTTGACCTTCGCGGACAAAAACACGGGTTTTGTTAAGGAGACTGAAATACCGGGGTCACCGAATGTGCCCGGCATTTAAGGACCCGCTGCTCTAAGTGGGCTTGAGTGCAATCTTTTTAAATTATCCGATCAATGCCACATGTCCTGCTTTGTGCTTGGATGGCTCTTTCTTCTAATATTATAAACCCACTGGAGCTATGCACTCTTAAAATCTAGACTGAATGGCAAACCTCGTGCACTTTAAGTCAAGTCAAATTGAAGAATTCATTGCAATTCCTTATTCTACAGCAACACTGGAGCAAGAAGGGCTGTTGTCTTTCCTATTGCGGTGGTTGAGGGTTCTGAGGTGGCAAGGCGATGTTTGCCCATCTGACATTGGAAGACGACCGAGTCGTCGAATGAATGTTTGCAAGCAACTGTTCAGTCCCACGTGAGGAATTTGAAGGAGTGGGTGCACAGTCGTGCAATGTTGCTGCTTCTGCTGCTGCTGCACTGCCCTCTGCTGTCACCAACCACGTCGTGGCAACGTTTTAACCCGCACCGGCGAACATTCTCAAGCCAATAATATTCACACATTCCTTTGGCCTTGGGAAAAACAAAACGTGCAAAAGTGGTAGTTAAACCGCGCACATCTCCTTGCGAAATTGACAATGCAAGACAAACTAGAGTACGCGACCGTGGCCAAAGAAACACAAACTACAGACCGTAAACAACTCTGCAATCTTGGCCTCCGTCAACGGAGAAGAATGAGAAAAAACCCAAAACTCGCACGAACCCCTAGAAGCCCTCTCTCGCCCAGGCGCGCCAGACGTTTTAGACGCTCCCGGACGTCAACTCAACTCGCTACCACACACAGGGAGCAGCAGGGAGCCTCGTCAAAGTGAACACCGTCGGTTCGGCGAAGGGTAAACCCCGTGCCTACCAGGGCTGTGAAGTCTTTGCCATCCTCGCCACCGTCGCCGTAGCCCGACGGGAATGGCCGCAGGAGCGAGTGGCGTCTGTAGCCGAGAAGCGCGGCCGCCACGAGGCTCAGGCGGAGGTCGGCGGCTGCCGGGTCCCCGCGCAAAGCCTCCCGCACGGCATCCCCAGGGCCTCTAGGTCCCACTCGATCCACGTCTTCGTGATCATCCCCACCACCTCCTCCTCCTCGCCCACCACCTCCTCCTCCTCCACCTCGCCCACCACCTCCTCCTCCTCCACCTTCTTCTTCTTCTGCTGCGGCTTGATTTGCCGGCTCCCAACCACGCGCCTCCTCCGCCAACATGCTCGTGTGGCCGTCTCGATTTAATGAATGTTGGTGATGGTGGTTGTGGTTTAGTGGTGGTGGTGATGATGATGTTTAAAAGCCACGAGTCCGCCGCGGTGTTTGTCGAGAAGGAGGAGGCGGTGTTAGCTGTGACGAGCCGGGCAGAGTCGGGGAGGAACAACGATGGGGGGTGATGCCACCGCCACCATCTTGGGTAGGGATAGCCAAATTTGCTGCCCAAATGATTGAGAAACCCATTTCCTCTTCAGCAGGGAGCAAGTAAAGTTGTGTTAATGGCAACATAATTCGTAGATGTTGGGCGCACCTAATGATGTTCTCACAAGGGCTGACTCTTCAGGAACGCCTCGAGATTCTAGATTCAATATGCTACTAGATAGGCTGAATGTCCCTAAACCATGCGTAACCCATATATGCTTGTTTGTTAGACTCAAAAAACACGTACGGTACTCTGCCAATAACTGTATAACTCAAATCAAGGCCATAGCCATGGAGTCAACATTTGGGGGGACCAAATCTTCCAGGGGGTCTTTCCCCTCCCCCCCCCCCCCCCCCCCAGAATTTTTCTAAATTTGAAAACTAATTTCCTTACACTAACACATGGGATGGACTTTTTATTTATTTTTTACAAGAACGTCTAATAGTATTACATTGCTCTGTTTTTTCTTTTTTTCTTCCTGTTTCATTGTATGTAATGGCAGAGATTAGGGATTAATAAAGTACAACCAGAACCGCAATCATATAAAAATAAATCTATTTTATAGCAATATATTGCGGGGGGACATTTTGAGCATATTTGAATATTGGGGGGGAATGTGTCCCCCCCAATATTTATTATAATTACGGCCTTGACTCAAATCATCATTCGTTCTGGAGAATAGAACAAATTAAACAATTTATCTCCTTCATATATCCTGTCTCTCATCAGCCACACAGTGGCTTTCTGGGAGTGCGTAATTTCCAGCAGCATTGATTCAAGACAAGCAAAACGCCGGACCGGTTTCGACATAGAGTGTCTCATCAGCAGTCAAGGCATGCTTGGACCAGTGCTTCTTTTTTGAGTACGGCTGATGTATAGGCAGAGCAACTACTACAATTTCCACATTCAGGTGGTCAAGCTCAGATATCCACATCTGCAGTTAGCATCGGAGTGTATCATCGCTGCGTTGTCTCCTTCGTATTTGCGGATCAGGAATTGCGTCTTTATACATTAATTTAACACGTAGGCTTTCGCCACCAATATCATCCATAATATTGGGGGTTTTTTTTGGGTTATATCGCGTAAATATATAAATGTGTTGTTAAACCCGCCACCACCCAACACAGCCAAATAGTAAGGTTTGTCACGTAAACAGAACGTGCAAATTCGTTATTAGTACAGCACACCGGTGTGTTGCAGAGCAAATCCACAACATTGTAAATGTTGTGAAGTGCTGTAATAATAAGGAATTGGCATGTTATGTTTACATGACAAACCTTACTAATTGGCTGTGGCGGGTTTAACAATCCTAGAAATCCTCCGCTCAGGGTCTGAATCAATGCTCTTAAACTCGACATTTGGCACACACAAAAAAAGAATGGTGGGGCTCATTCCAATCTTTTTTTATTTCCAATTCTCCCCGTGCCTTTTGTAAATTCTCTCTGCAAGCTCTGGACAAAGGGGGACTTTAGGATTCCCCTACGTAAGATGGCGGCGTCGCACGTAACCTTTGACCCCAAAGGGGGGGGGTGTAGAGGGGAGGGGGATCCTGGCCGACCACGGAACATGACGTCACGTCAGGGACGTCGCTCGAACCCGCGGGTCGCCCTGGATAATGCCGGCGAATTTGTTTTTATTTTCACCCGACACATGTTGTCACTCCTCCTGTAACTAAAAGTTAATTCCCTTTTTACGCGTAAAATTAAACAAAAACAGGCAAGATAATATGTGTTTTTGAAGTGTTCTCGAGGAATTTAAGGAATATTCTGGCGAAAGAATTACGTTGATTTGGAGGGCAAATTTAAAAGTTAGAACTGTTTTAAATCTTCTGTTTTAAATCTTCCATATTCGTTACTTCCACTACTTTGGTGTCGCTATCTATCGTGCGTGTATGTTGAAATCCTTCTGCATCGTACGTGGCCAACCGCGCTCACCGGAGGTATGGAACATTTCTGCTTCTTACAAAATTTCAATCCAAAGTTTAATCGGTAACACGGAAAACCCTTTTAGCCAGTTACCCAGCTAGCTTCAATGGCAACCACGAGCAATACTGTCGTTAATGCTGGGGTGGACAGGAGCCCAGCCTGCGATCCAGCCAGGAAACTCGAGGCAGACATAATTTTTTAAATGGCATGATAAATACACATTCAAATTACCCGCTTGCCAATCAGTTTACAATGTAATGTAGGATATTCGCTGCTGTATTTTTCATTGCAACGTTAACAATCTAAATTGGAAACATTTAATACGATGCTAACGTGGTGTGCTCCCATGGTGCCTCCCCACCCACTTGCCTTCAAAAGCGTGGTAGAAGTTTGGATAAACATTTTTGTTACCAAAATTGGACAAAAGTGCTATTTAACACGTAGCAGGCTTTCCCGACCAATATCATCCATAATGGAGTTCCTTTTGGGTTAGATCGCGGAAATATATAAATGTGTCGTTAAACCCGCCACCACCCGACACAGCCAACTAGTAAGGGCTGTCACGTAAACAGAACGTGGCCAATTCGTCACTAGTACAGCACACCGGTTGTGTGTTGGAGAGCCAAGCCACAACATTTACAATCTGAGTACGACGTTTTGTCTGAAATTACAACCAGCTTCATCAGGCGACAGCCAGATTTGTGCAGAAGTCCACCTGTTTCAAGTAATACATCCAGTGGTTGTGCTGCCGTTGTGATGGCCTGACTCACATCCCTGTCTGGGATCCAGCTCAGCATATCATCTTTATTGATGGGGTCGATAACTCAAGTACCGCTCTGTGGAAAGTCAACTGTGGTCTTCCCTCGGTTTTCCCTATGGAACTGACAGGCCCACCCTAGAATCTCGAATTCAAAACAACTGGCTCGGCTGTAAATACAACCTTAATACTGTTCTCATTAATTACAAATTTTATTATATTTATTTGTAGGTATACAAAAACATTTTATTAAAATAAATCGAAATAAAGTTAATTTACACTATGAGACCTCCTTTACCAGTGGCAAAATATAGTGATAGGTTTTACTGGTAGGAACGAAGTGGACCAGACCACCAATAGATTAATGTGTCCGTCCGTCCGTCCGTGGGAGGGGTGGTGTTGAGGGTGGTGTTGGAAATGAAAGACTACGAGTCTTTAAATCTCACAGCGTTTCTTGTCAAAACAAACACTTTTAATTAACGTTACACTAGAATACAGTAATTTTTTCTTTAACTCCTCTATACCCGGTCGATATCTCTGTACCGGTACTAAGTATTATTCCTACCAGCCCACCCCGCAGGGTCCTGTTTACCCTTTCAACTGGTACAAAAACTGACACCTTTATACAAGGCATCATGTTTGCAATAACCACGAAATAAAGTTGCTGGCAGCAGGCAGTGGGCTGAGCCACGCGGGCACCCCTGCGTGAAGACACGTGGTAGGACCCCGAGATAGCGGCAATCTCGTCACATTAATCGGCGTCGTCTCGCTGTGCGCTCCCGACTTTATCATCCCTCGTTAGTTTTGCACCATCTTACTCACAACTCCCTTGACGTTCTCGCGAGTACTCTTGTGATAGAATCCGGTGTTAACTCTGTGCGTTGGCCTGAAAATGGTGAAGCGGCCGAACATTTTGATCACGGGTAAGTCCCCACAGACGCGCGCGGCCTACGACGAATATTTCGTGGCCGCGTGGCGAGTAATCTTCGTTCTACTTCGCACGCGATACCCATTTGCAACTTCGTACAACCCGCACGTACTTGCTGATGTTAATCCGCTGCTGGGATGAAGGCCTCCAAACTTCGTGCAAATCCGTGGGAGTTTTGTAACCATCCATACTTCACCGCGCTGGTCAATGCGGGATTTCGAAGGCCTTTGCGTGCGCGGGGCACCGTAGGATTGCGGTATTAGTTGATACACTGACTCATTAAACTTGATGTTTCTGCTCAACTTGAGCGTTGATCAAGGCTCATTTTCGACGTGCTATCAAGCAAGTCTGCGAAAATTCCACATTAGTATGGCCGGGACCGGTCTCTAGAACTGCCTCCGTTTCACTCGCCACAAAGTAGTGAGTGAACTCGAGTCGCTTTATCGACCCTCTGGTCAGAGCGCTCGATTTACAGCCAAGAGGTTTGCCAACACAAATCGTGATCGGGGGTGGGATCGGCCCATCATGCTTTCGGGGTCGATAAATTATGTACGGTACAGGTAATAGAGGTCGTACTTTGTAGCGTCACAGACTGCATCTTCCATAAGAATGTGGAATGTGCATCACCAATTTAGTGTTGCCAACAGTCGACGCACACTGACTTTATCATTTTCGATAATCGCTTTAATGATATTGATTGATTGATGTTTGGGGAAGAGCGGTGGCACAGTGGTTAGCGCACCGCGCAATGAACCCGGCGATAAGAGTTCGATTCCCAAGCCACGGCTTTCATCAGTGGCGAGTGAAGCTGCCCTAGGCCCCTCTCCCACTTCACCAACATGCACTGACCAGCGTGGTGAAGTATGGTCAAACAACAACCCACAGTGGACAGTGCATGGGGAGACCTTCATCCAGCAGTAGATTGATCAATGGCTGTTGAAACATGACAGTGAGTTCTGTGGAAGGTACGTTGTTGATAAATTCATATATTTTACGTTCCTAAAGTACCTTTCTTGTAAACAACAGATATCTTGGTAGTTTTGTTGTAAAGTTCAGTCTATAATAACTCATTTGTCATCTATGAGCTTGTGAAGGAAACTGCAGCTGCTGTTAGCGAGCAGTCGAGCACATATTTATATTTGTGTGGAATCTACAGTCTGCACTACTTAACAATTGGAGCTATGCAGCTGAACTCTGCCCTTCGTGCATCTATTCTGTGTGTATCCGATGTTTAACCCCGCTTTGTATCTATACAATGGGAGTAGTAACTCTGCCCTGTGTGTGTATGTGTGTGTAACTGCCCTTCGTGCATCTATGCTGTGTGTATCCGATGTTTAACCCCGCTTTGTATCTATACTATGGGAGTAGTAACTCTGCCCCCTGTGTTTGTATGTGTCACTAGGTACCCCCGGCGTGGGAAAGAGCACCCTGGCGAAAGAGCTCGCCTCCATCACGGGGTTCACCTACCTGTGTGTGGGCGACCTCGCCAAGGAAGGTGAGTGGCGATGCGCTCGGTAGCGACTGAAAGTTGAACGGTGCGAGGTTGACGTGAACTGGCGATAATAAAAAAAAACTTAACTCTATTATTTTATTTTGCCAGGTGAGTCCCTACTGAGCTATACGGCTCTTTGTTCAGAAGCAACCTGGCCACAAGTTTCAGTTTTCATTTATTTGGTATAGCCATGTGAGGCATTCGGCTCTTGAATCGGGTGCAACCGCAACAAACAAAAAACAAAAACATGATTAAGAAAACATCTTAAAGTGATTATGCGCAAACAGAAAAATCCAGGAAAAAACTGGCCGTGAGTGAGAAATGATAGTTCTAGATTTGAAGCTTTCGTGACTGCAAGGATTCATACTCTTAGGTTTTTTCGGTAAAGTCACGTAGGTAAAAAATAAAATTAATAGAAGTAATAATTATTATTTTATTTCTATTATTCTATTAATTTTATTTTTTACCTACGTGACTTTACCGACAAAAACCTAAGAGTATGAGAAATGATAGCTCAACGAAGTGGCTTATCGTGTGGATATTTATAGCAGCCCAATACTCCTAAACGCATGTGTCTAAATGTGGAGGGATAAACCGGGGAACTTGGAGAAAAATCTACACGACCACGGGGAGAGAGAGAACATGCTTTCTCCAAATATACAGGCGTCTGAGTCGGGAGCAAACTCGTGACTTGTATACCAGGTGAGCTAGTTAATATCTCACCAACAATAACCTGGGAGCAGGTAGGTGCTTAGCCTTCATAGGATTTATTCAGTGACCTTCATCTATTTATTAAAAATCGTATGCAACTCTTAAAGAATGAATGTGAAATGCTAGCATAGAAACAGAAATTCCACATAATATTGTTGGGCAGTTGGATATTTTGACAACCTGAAATTCGATCGGCTGGTTAGTTTAACCCGTAAATTTTCGCAGCTGCTTGTAATCCAAGCGTGGTTTTCTGCAGTAAATAAATGTTCAAGATGCTGCCCAATCCAGAACGCCATGCTTGCGTCTGCCTAGCGATTAAAATTGTAATAGTTTACAAAGGCTGTATAGCAAAAGGCATTGTTAGTTTGATAAGATCTCTTGTGTTGCCGAGGTGTAACGTCGTTTTTACGCGATCTTTTTGTTGACGCGTACAGAGCAGCTGTACGATGGCTTTGATGCAGAACTCGACTGTCCCATATTGGACGAAGACCAGGTACTTATCTTTTGGCCACTGCGACACATGCACAAACCGCTTCACGAAATTATTAAAATAACAAGTATATAACCCGTAAAAACAAAGTTTTTCACTATAAATCCTTTATATGCGTGGCGGCTAGAGTCCTCTCGTCCTCTGGCTTGAGATGGCTGCCACCTATGGGTCAGATGATTGCATTGCACCATTAAGCAATTGGTAATTAAATATAATATTTTTGTCCTAATAAGTGTAAAATTTTGGGAAAAAAGTTTCACGAACATTAATTGTCACGCACAACGAGTCTGTGTGGAAAATGTCAGCTCGATTGGATCACGGGAAGTGGGTTAAAAAACGACCGAAAGATTTGCACGGTCGTAAGCAAGCAAGCGAACTTAATATAAAGGATTTAAAAACAGAAGTCCCCCTGCCGCTCATGTACAAGAACGCCTTCACAATAGTGGTCCCATCAGCTGACACTGGAATGGGCCCTTTGCTGTTGCCAGGTGGTGGACGAGATGGAGGAAAAGATGGCCGACGGAGGCGTAATCGCGGACTATCATGGCTGTGACTTCTTTCCGGAACGATGGTTTCAAATCATCTTTGTGCTGAGGACAGACAACACGCTGCTCTTTAACCGACTTGAACACAGGTGTGTGTTGTTTCATTCCTTCGATGACCTGTCCCAGCTCTCATAGACCTTTCTCTCTCTGCCTGCCTACCACCCTGTGTTAATTACACAAATCTATCAAGACGACAGGCCTAGCTAATGTTGCTCATTTGCGCAAGTCTTGTGCATCAAAACATTGTTCAAATGCCATGGATAAAGTCGACAGCAGCAATGCATGAGCTAAGAAGATAGATTATCCCCCTACAGCAAGTGGCTTTTCTCTTGGCTCTCTGCTTTCCTTCAACGTGTAAAATATTCCGTGATTAAAGGGGGCAAACATCCCTAAAGGACATTGATGTTATTTTAAGAATCCTGTGATGTGTGGGAATTTTAGTAAAGTGTAACAGTCTAAATTAATCTTAGTGCCCAAGCCTTTTAATTGTATCCATGCTTCCTTGCCCAAATCACTGCAAAATCTGACTGTCGTAGCAGTAAAATAACACTGGTCAACAAAAAAAACACATTTTTTTCTGGCCTGGACTTTTGCAGCTGTTTTAGACTAATTTCAAGGTACGGATTCCAAATCTGAGCTTAGATTTGCTATCACATCTCATTTTATGCTATCGGCATACCCCACTTTCATTGATTTTACCCGAAATTAACTCTGTCACTTATGATTGCAAGTTGTTGCGAGTCAGTGACTGCTTTAGTGTTAAAATATGGTGCTGTATTTTTAGGATAGTGTGTTTATAATATCATTTTATGTAGAGATCCACATTTATTTAATATTTTTCTTCTGCAGTTTTTATTGAAAATGCAATATTTGGAATCAGCACCCCAAAATTACCTTAAAACCGTTGGAATACCTTATGCCAGAAAAAGTGTGTTGACCAGTGTAATCCTTTGAATTACGAGTAAACTGAATACCACCACATCTTGCAGACGCCGTAACATTTCGGTCGCCAGCAACTGCGTATGTGTGTGCGCATGCTGGCAGGGGTTACAGCGGCCGCAAGCTGGAGGAGAACGTGCAATGCGAGATCTTTCAGACCATCTATGAGGAGGCCATGGAGTCGTACCGTGCCGAAATAGTTCACCAGCTGCCCAGCAACAACCCCGATGACCTGGAGCGCAACCTGCTGCAGATCCAGGCCTGGCTGCAGAAGTGGATGCTCGACAATAACTGAGGCGATTGTTGTCTGATGAGCGTTTTGCGATCTGATCAGTTACTCATTATTTACAGAAAGTGTTGAGAATCAGAACGTCAACTGATTGGGTGGCACGTAGGAAGCCCCGCTGCAACGTTCGGAATCGATATCAACGCTTGGATCGTGCCTTTTCTCTTTGCGGTCATAAATTCACCGCCTTTCCTTTCACTGTGTAGGAATAAAGAAATCGGTCGGATGATTCATCGCCACCTATTTGAAGCCTGCACCACTTACATTGATTGGCAAGACGGAGGTTATTGCTGCCTGTGTTTAGTTTCTTTGCGCTTGGGTGCTTGCGAGTCTTTGCCATTGACATTGCGGGATATGCTGTGTGTGCGTGCAGCAGAGACCACACACTCGAGGTGTGCAGCATATGGTCTGGAATGCTTTGAAACGCACATTTCGAGGTAAGATTGACAAAGGCACTGGAATGATGGGCCTTGCATTAGGCATTTGTAAATAGTGCAGTTCATGAGTTTATTTTATTAAATCTTTGGGTTGTAGTGGCCTACGATTATCATTGACTTTGTTCAAATTTAATTATGTGGCATGTGCCCTGTTGAGTTGCGAGACCCTGCCGATGAAGTCCTAAAGATTGCTTCGTTTGAATGCAGCCATTCGTACAAGTTGTACATACATAAGACTTCATCGGTGCGATTAATATTCAAGGCACAAGCAGCTTTGAACGCTGAACAAACAGAAATAAGGCATTTACTTTTATGACCCCTGGCAGTCTTGAATTGCCACCACCATTTGTTAAAATTTACTATTTCTTAAAACTTGTTTTATTTTTCAATCGTGATAAAGTCATTATGCTATATAGCACAGGATAAATATAACGCTTTGTACATGTATAGTTATATACTGCTTTGTATTTATACGTGAATCATTTGTGTATACAATGCAATATACATGTACAGCCCATTATTAATTTACTGCCGGATGATGTTCTTTCCATTGGGATTTTGGCCATACTTCCCCATTCTGGTCTGTGGATTGAAGCTTGGAAGTACAGTACAACAATCTGTTACTGCACTATCCTCTGCAACCCATAACATGAAATATGAACATGTATATTTTTATATGTACACTATATTTCAGAGGTACAGAAGGTAATATGCGGATGTAAACTGTGTATTACACGACATAAATTATATTGAGACTTTCACATCTTGTACGATAAGGGACATTCAGATCCTGGCAGTCCCGCCAACCCATCTGGGTGGCACTGGTGACAGAATCCTCGTCAAATCTGATAGAATATTCCAGAAGCATCTTCCATTACAACATCGGTCATGCATGACAATTTCTTAAGGTTGAGAATAACTTACTAGAAATCTGGATTTTTGTTTCCCGCTTCTGGTCACGGTTTTGGAAAGAATGTGCATGGTCACTCGTTGAATACAGTACATGGATACGTGTGCTTAACTGGCATTTGTGTATGGATTGTAATATGCATAAAGGATGTGTCACATTAAAGCTTCCTGAACTGGATTTTTGATGACGGGTGCTCTGTAAATACGTGTACGCAATGTTTCACCAAAATTCTTATTAACCTTCCATCACCTGATAGGATTGTCACGTCAATAAAGAAATACGTTGGCTATGAAACCCTACATTGTAACTTCAGGTTTATGTGACCACAACTGCGATGTGAAAAGCATTTTGTGACAAGATAACGGTTTTCTGCTGGGATAGGTGGAACAAATAGCCCAACTCGGCCAATGTCGTTCATGTAACCGTGTCAAGGACTACATATCTAGAAGACGTGCAGAATGATAAACATAGCGTATGTACTGCATGTGTAATATAGTATACATACATGCAACATTTAATGATAGGGTTTTTCCCCTTTTTTCTGCCAACAAAACTGAAACCTTTTTACAAGGAATCATGTCTGCATTAACCACAATATTTGTGGTCAAAATGCAAACAAAAAACGGATAATATATGCATTGTCTTTGAGCTGTACGCCTTTAGGCGTCCTCTGGTCGAGCACCAATTGGGTTGAGGCTCTAAAGAAAGCCGTCCCTGGTGTGGACCAATCAGTTTCAAGGACAATGCATACATTATCATAGTGTGTTTTTTGTTTGCATTTTGACCGCAAGTATTGTGGTTAATGCACACATGATTCCTTGTAAAAAGGTTTCACTTTTGTTGCCAGAAAAAAGGGGAAAACCCCTATTATTACATTTTGGTACTGCAAAGGAGGTCTAATGATATACATGCAACATGTATAGTTCTAGTATATTGTGTCGATATCAATATATACCACCATGTATAGACTCGGGTGCTGTCTACATTGCACAATCTACATATATTATGCTGCTGACATGTAAACAAAATACAGTAGTTGGATCCAGGATTGGAAGAATGTGTGTTTGCAGGCGTTCACTCGAGTGCTTTGTGTGCGAGGCTCGTGTGCGCTGTCTGCCACGTGACCCTGAAAGCTAGGTCTAACCCCATGCGAAAGTTCGTTGGTGGCATTGTGTCTTCGTTCTGGCCAATTTCATGTCTCCGCGGGATGAGCGTGGCGAGTGGATGGGGCAGCAGCCAATGGGAAGGGGAGGTGGGGAGAACTTCCGCTGCACTGAATGCGAAACACGTGGGAGTGGCTTTTTTGCGTCGGCTGAGCAACGTCGACATGAATTTTAAGTCGACTAGTGCGCATGCAAAGCCACGGGGTGTGATGTGGCTCGGTAACGCCCTGCGTCGGCGGAATTGTGATTGCTGTCGCTTTAGTGGGGCGCTTTCACAATGGAACTCGCATCGGCTTCATAGGGGCCTGGCTCAACTTGCCTACCTGCCCAACATGTAACGATATGGGGGGTGGTTTGGTTACTCATACCACGGATATTGCTGCATGGATGCTAACACTCATGCTGCGAGCAGCGCATTAACAATTATATGCAACTTTCTGCACCGTTTAACAGCTGCACTTTATAGGGCGTAAACTGCTGTGTCCTGCATCATTTAAATGAAGTCGTTCCGGGCTTGACCACTTCTCGCATGGTATAACTTATTTATGCGAGTTTTTGTGCAATTACAGAGTATCCTTGCCTTTACATGATATTGTACAATGTGGTGCATTGACACTGCATATTTAGTCTGATTTGTAAGTGCAAAAAGGGAGATTCTGTTTAAATATCTAATTTCAGGTCTATATTTACATCTCGGTTTACATTCTAAAGTTATGACAATTTTACACGTGGAATTATATTTTCAGTTGTAAACTAAATTCCCAATTCTAGTGATTTGCTCATCACAAAGCTGCCTGGTTAAGGGGCAGTTTACAAGCAATTGGAAGTTACTGCTGGTATCAAGACCCAAACTCCAGCTTTGAATATTATCCAACTAAAACTGTCCCTGTGAATAATACATTCTTTGCCCAAAGGCATAATTGATCAGTTCACACCTTTGCAGTCAAGTCAATTAGACAATATTTGCATGTGCATGCATTTGTCAACAGCTAGATTTGAAAAATATTTTGTTCTCAAAATAAATGTTTTCCCAGTTGGTAGTACGGGTGGGAAACGTTTTTTGAGTCACCAAACAGATGCACGCACACACACACGTATAATTTCTCGACGGTGATCTCGGAAATCTCGCAGGGCTCCCGACAGATGGAGAACGGTGCTGGGGTACACAGCATCGCGGCTCGCTTCATCACAGCTGAGAGATCTCTTGGCTTCTGCCACGCGCTCGTAATGAGGCCATTTGAGTCCGATTAAATGTTCGCATTGCCAAATTAATGGAGGCACCCCCCGGGCAACTCTGCCTGCACCTTCCTCACCCAGACGGGTTGCTTTGTGTTGGTTTCCCTTGCCCGCTGACCGACCCATCCAAAATGTCATGGCCCTACTACATCATTGCTGATGACCTTTGGGGGGGTGCTGTGGAGGTGGCTGTGTGGGGTTGCTGGTGATAGACCACCAAACCACACAATTTTAATTGATGTGTGTAGTCTTATACATGCAGCTGTATCTCAAGTGGCTCAACAAAACGTTGGGTCAGGTTCATCACAAGTAAAAAGGTGGCTTCCGTATATGTACTGTACTGCATACACCTGTAATTTTCGTTTTACAAGAGATGAAGCAGTCATATGCAGAGCGGAAGAGGAATGCCTTGAGCCCGAACGCTTCCAGGCTGGCTTGAACAAGGACAAGGGATTCAATAGCACGGATGACTGGGAGAAGAGAGTTTGTGCTGGGGGGGGCACAATAAAGAGGGAGGACCAAGCTATGCTAGTCACAGAGATAAGGATGTTGCTGTACATGGTGGGTTTAACAAGGAAGGACAGGGTGAGAAATGAAGTGAGAGGAAGACTCAAGGTGGTAGAAATCACAGAGAAGGTGAGAGAGAAAAGGCTCTGGTGTGGTTCGGTCATGTGGAGAAACAGCAGCAAAATGATGTGGGTCAGACGATGCAAGTGGAAGGCAGAAGAAGAGGTGGGGCGATGTGGTGCGATCGGAGACGGTGGCCCGAGGAGCGACAAGAGAGATGGCGCAGGACAGGGCAGTGTGGAGAAGGTTGGCAAGGACAACGGACCCAACATGAGTGGGACAATCGCGTGGAAGAAGAAGCAGATTGGGAGATGAGGGTTTCAGACGAGTGTATTGAGCCTGGGTAGTAGTCGACTGAGCAGCCTCCCCCACTTAGCGATTGGCTGACAGGGTGCTTTGAAAGAAAACCTTGGTTGTCGAAGTGGATAGTCCGTGGCATCGGGGAGACTGAATTTCGAGGGCGCAGCGAAGTTCCAATATCCACTTGGCATTCCAAAGGGGCAATTGGAACCTTGTGTGTGCATGTGTGTGCTGGCAATACCCACTTGGCATTCAAACATTGTGCAAGCTAAAGGCAAATAATCTTGCAGAAGAAGCGAGCGCGCGTATACGCGTGCGCGCCGCTTCGATCCCCACCGATAGTTTAATCGTGGCGGGGGGCAATAATCATCTTAACGATCAGCCGCTTGACCTGCTCGATAATTAAAGGCACGCGCAGATCATTAAAGCGGGATGAATGTGAACGGTGCAGGGCGCTCAATCGCGATGTTTTCTGCTCTTCGCCGGGAACGTGCGCGGAGTACGAACGACGAGGTTTACCATGTTTAGTGGTTGTCTCCTTGTCACAGGTTGAGTCACAAACCGTACCTCTCCATAACAAAGGCTCACCCTCTTGAGCCTCACCTTACCATATGAATAGAAAGTGTGCTGTACTTGCCGCTTCCCCCCCCCCCCCCTCTCCAACCATTATATAAACGGAGTGGTAGCTCCTGCAATCTCTCATTTACTTGATACAGCTGTCGTGGCTGTGACGGTTCCACCTGAAGACGGAAGCTTGTGTTGCCTCCGAAACGTCGTGATTTTTATTTTATTTTACTTTCATCAATCGATCGTTTAGGTGCGTTCACAGACAGACAGGGCCCGATCAACGGTGGCGAGATGTTAACTGCATCGTCTGCCATGCAGGAGATCGTGGGTTCGATTTCCGACCCTGACGCTTGCTGGATATTTGGAGTTTGCGCGTCTCTCGCCCCGTGGTCGCGTTGATTTTACTCCGGCACCTCCGGTTTTTCCCCTCCACGTTAAGAATCAACATCACGCGTTTAGAGCATGCGGCTGCTGTACATTTCCACGTGATAAGCCACTAAGTTGAGCTGTCATTTGTGGGCAGGTCGCTTTAAAAAGGGAGCTCAATGGTCCTTACCTGGTAAAATTAAAGATAGTTTATAGTTTCATAAAATAAATGATACAATTTCATGCTTCACGTTTATTTTGTGTGTAACCAGGTGAGAACTCCAAAGAGACCCCGGATAGTCTAATTTGCAAGAGTCACCGTGGTCACATAACAATCTTTTGTTTTTACAATGGTGCAAATGCAATCGCGTCGCTCGACTATACATGCTATAGGTCATCGGGTATTTAAAGCCAAAACGTGCCTGTTTAGAGACTGTATTATCTTAATCCCTCACTCAATGGTTTCCGGTCCCAGAAATTAAGGATATGAATATACAAAGAAGGGCCCCAAAATTCTGAAACAGCTCAGGGCCCCCCATCAAATTTAATCCGGCCCCGTGAACTTCTCCACTGAAAAAGACACAGTTTGGTCTCGATTAATCCCCGTGTACACGTGCATCCGTTCTGTTACCCAACTGCTACGTGAAGGCTCACCCCGCTGCATGCGCCGTCGTGAAGCCGATTTGACCATAATTCTAGATTTGAAGTCGTGACTGCAAGGATTCATACTCTTAAGTTTTTTCGGTAAAGTCACGTAGGTAAAAAATAAAATTAAAATTACTTAAAGTAATAATAGAAATAAAATTATAAATCACGACGTTTCGGAGGCAACACAAGTCTCTGTCATCAGGTGGGACCGTCACAGCCAGATTTGCTGTATCAAGATACAGCAAATTCTATTATTACTTTTAGTAATTTTTATTTAATTTTTTTACCTACGTGACTTTACCGAAAAAACCCAAGAGTTATTTGACCATA